GCCTGTAATCCCAGTACTTTGGGAGACTGAGGTGGGAGGACTGCTTGTGGCCAGGAGTTCAAGACCAGCCTGGACATCATAGTGAGACCTCATCTTTAGGAAAAAATAAATAAACAAATTAGCCAGACATGGTGGTGTGCACCTGTAGTCCCAGCTACTTGGGAGGTGGAGGTGGGAGAATTGCTTGAGTCCAGGAGTTCAAGGCTGCAATGAGCTATGATTGTGCCATTGCATTCTAGCTTGGGTGATAGAGTGAGATCCTGTCTCAAAAAAAAAAAAGAAAAAATTATTGTCCTTTATATCTATAGAGGCCTGCCAATGGCTTCAAACAGCACCTCTATCTATCACTGACATTTTAAGCACCCTTACATCTGCTGGATCATATGGCCCAAATGATAGGGCACCTTGAATGGCAGCATGGACCTGTTACATTCTTCTGTTGTTCTGGGTCCCACCCAAATCTAGCAGCTTTTCTGGTCACTCAGTAGATGGGCCAGTGTAGCATATCCAAATGACAAATATATTGTCTCCAAAATGTAAAGAGATCCCATTAGGCATTTTGCTTCTTTTTTGGTTATAAAAGGTGCAAGGAGCAACAACTTATCCCTCACCTTAGAAGGTATACCTCAACATGTCCCACACCACCTAGAAATTTCACGGGGGTATTATAGAAGTCCTCCTGAAACATCATCAGATTTACTTCTTACCCTCTGACAGGCAACTATCTTACTAATAAGTCTAGTTAATGTTTACTAAGTCCAATTAGCATAGTATCATAAGTGGTATGGGTCAGTGTGGTGTCTTGTTGAAGGGAAAGTTTTCTGTAGCCTAAATTTTGACAGAGGGCTAAAGAACTGATATACTCCTGAGGTAGGACAGTGAAGGTATATTGATAGCCTGGCCAGCTGAAAACAAATGGCTTCCAATAGTTTTTCACAAAAAGATATTGAAATTAAAAAAAAAAAAGCATTTGCCTTCTCAATAGCTACATACCATGTACAAGGGAGATGTCTTAATTTGATTAAAGAAACCTCATCTGCAATAGCAGTTGCAATTGGAGACCTAGTTATATTTATAATAATCCACTGCCATTCTCATTTTCTACATAAGCCATATAAGTGAGTTGAGTGGGAAATATGGTGGGAATCAACATCCCTGCATATTTCAAGTCCTTGACAGTGGCACTCAGCTCTGAAATTCCTCCAGGAATGTGCTAGTATTCTGTTTTACTCTCATTACCATCTGAAGTCCATAGTTAACATTAGAGCTCACTCTTGGTGTTGTATGTTCTATGGGTTTTTACAAATGTATAAGGACAGGTATCCACCATTATAGTATCATATAGAATAGTTTCATTGCCTAAAAATCCTCTGTGCTCTGCCTGTTCATGCTTCCCTGCCTCCTCACCCTGGAAACCACTGATCTTTTTACCATCTCCATAGTTTTGTCTTTTCCAAAATGTCATATGGTTGGAATCGTACAGTATGTGCCCTTTTCAGATTGGCCTTGTTCATTTAATAATATGCATTTAAGTTTCCTCCATGACTGTTCATGGCTTGCTATAATAACTTAGTGCTGAATAATATTCCATTATCTGGCTGTTTCATAGTTTAGTTATCCATTTACCTAATGAAGGACATCTTGGTTGCTTCCAAGTTTTGGCAATTATGAATAAAGCTGCTATAAACATCCGTGTGCAGGTTTTTGTGTGGACACAAGTTCTCAGCTCAATTCGATAAATATCAGGAGTGCTAAATTACATGTAAGAGTATGTTTAGTTTTATAAGAAACTGCCAAACTATCTTCCAAAGTGGATATACCATTGCGCATTCCCACCAGCATGAATGAGAGTTCTTTTTACTTCACATCTTCACCAGCATTTGGTGTTATCAGTGTTTTGTATATGATCATTTTAATAGGTGTGTAGTAGTATCTCTTCATTGTTTTAGTTTGCAATTCCCTAATGATGTAAAATGTTGAATACCTTTTTATATGCTGCTTTGCCATTTGTATTTCTTCTTTGGGGAGGTGTCTCTTCAGGTCTTTTACCCATTTGTTAACCATGTTGTTTGTTTTCTTATTGTTGGGTTTTAAGAGGTCTTTGTATATTTCGGATAACAGTTATTTATCAGATGTGTCTTTTGCAAATATTTTTTCCAGTATGTGACTTAACTTTTTATTCTCTTGACAGTGTCTTTTACAGAGCAGAAGTTGTTAATTTAAATGAAGTCCAATTTATCAATTATTTCTCTCAGTGGATCACACCTTTGGTGTTGTATTTAAAAGGTCATTGCAATACCCGAGGTCATCTAGTATTTCTCCTATGTTATCTTCTAGGAGTGTTTTATAGTTTTGCATTTTACATTTAGGTTTATGATCCATTCAAGTTAATTTTTGTTAGGAGTGTAAGGTCCGTGTTTAGATTCATTTTTTAGCATCATTTGTTGAAAATGTTTGCTTTTCTTCTTTTGTCAAAGATCAGTTGACTATGTTTAGGTGGGTCTATTTCTAGGCTATTATATTTTGTTCTATATTTTTGCGTTCTCTTGCCAATATTATACTGTCCTGACCACATTGCTTTATGGTAAGTATTAAAGTCAGGTTTATTCTTCTCCTTAATATTGTTTTGAGTATTCTGTGTATGATAGCTTTTAAAGAGCCCTTATCTTCTTTTTCCACCACCTTAGTCATCTGTTCATCTATTTCTATTGACTGATTTTTCTTGTAGTATGGGTCACATTTTTTTGCTTCTTCACATTACTAGTAATTTGGGGGGGGAGGATATTGGACATTGTAAATGTTACAATGTTGAATGTCTGAATTATGTTTTCTTCCTTTAGAAAGTATTGAAGTTTCTTTTAGCAAGTAATTAATTTACTTTTGGATTAGCTTGATACGGTTAAGGTTGTTTCTAAAGGCTTGTTGGGAGGTATAGACCAGCCTTTACTCTAGGGCTAGTCTAGCCATACTGTTAAGATATTCGCCCATCTGGATATCTGCTGAACACCTCAGGTGTGCAACAAGGTCTCTTTCTCTGGCTAGTCAGAACTCAAATGTCTTCTAGTCTTGCATGAACCCTGAAACTTGTTCATCTTAGAGCTCCCTGGTAGTTGTTTTTTGCTTGACTTCGTGGAGTTTTATCCAAACATGCACAGCTTAGGTTGTAGTCAAAGACTCAATGGTAGATTTATGCAGATTTTTCCAGTGTATACCTCCTCCTATCTGATTCCCTGTCCACCATTCCCAGCCACCTTGCCTTCCCTCAACTTTTATCTATGTCTCATCAAAGAAGCAAAACCACTACATTCTGCTACAGTTCCCATGCCTGTCCTGTGGTCCCATAACTACCTATACCTATATCCTAACTAAAAGTAGATGCGCTATTTCATCTTTTCTAAATGATAAATGATGGTTTCCAAATTGCTATGGTAGGCTTCTAGTCATTGTGGATTAATTGTATGTGATTTGCCCTCCTACCATCAATAAAAAAAAACTGAATTAGATATGAAATAACTGTTTTCAGGCATTGAGAAATAGACAATGCAGGACTGTGAATTACATGGTCAACCTTACTTTCAGGCTGGGGACAATTTCCTGATCACAGTGCTGAGAAATGCAGGCTAAGCCAAACAATCATCTAGCTGAGTTGAGGAGACAGAGATCAGAGTTCAAAAAGGCAGAGATTGTTAGACTGTGTAAAAAAAAAAATCAAGACCCAACTATACATTGTTTACAAGCAATATAATGCAAATATTATACAAATTTGTTTGGAAAATAGAGAATGAGGTAAGACAAAAACATGTTAAAAGGTAGGAAAAATATATACCATGTAAATAGTAAAAGATTAGAAAGCTGGTGTGGCTGTAATATTACACAAATTAAACTTCAAGACAGAGAGTATTACCAGAGATAAATATGGGCATTTCATAATGATAAAAGGGTAAAGAATGATAAAAAAAAAAAAGATAGTATATTAGTCAGGCTCTTCCAGAGACAATGAACTAATAGGAGATATATATATATATCTCCTATATATAGGAAATATATATATATTAGTTACATATAAATATATATATAGAAGAGAAGAATTTTTTATATATATATCAGTTGGCCAATTAATTTCTTTCTATTTATAGTAGAGACGGGATCTCGCTCTTGCTCAGGCTGGTTTTGAACTCCTGACCTCTAGCAATCCGCCCGCCTCGGCCTCCCAGAGAGCTAGGATTACAGGCATGAGCCACCGCGCCCGGCTAAACTTTGTTTATATGTATTTAATATAGGCATCTCTTGAAATGACCTGCTGTTTTAGTCAGCTTGGGCTGCCATAACAAAATATCACAGACTGGGTGACCTAGACAATAGTAATTTATTTCTCATGGATCTGGAGGCTGGGGAGTCCAAGATCAAGGTGTTGACTGATTAAATTCCTGGTGAAAGTTCTCTTCCTGTCTTATAGATTATCGCCTTCTTGCTGTGTCCTTACATGGCAGAGAGCGAGCTCTGGTGTCTCTTTCTCTTCTTATATAGCCACTAATCCTGTTGGATTAGGACCCCACCCTTATGACTTCATTTAACCTCAATTACCTCCTAAAAGCCCTATCTCCAAATACAATCATATTAGGAGTTAGGACTTCAATATATGAATTGAGGGGAGGAACACAATTCAGTCCATAGCACCTGCCTTTAACTTAAGTGTTTTTTTATGTTATATTTGAAATAATTAGGTCATCTTCAAAAGCCCATAAGATAATATAATATTATTAATACGATCTTGGAAAATTACCTCAGTATGTAAAAGAACTTCTTAGTAATTGGTTCTTTTTAGGTATTTATTCTTCAGTCTGAAAATAAGAACCATTATACTGATTAATTTTATTTGTTTAGGAAAATGGAGATGTAGAGTAAAAAGAGATGGTCTGTTGGTATTTTCCCCTCTCAACTGAAATACCTTAACACCATTTTTAACCCAGTTCTTTAATATATGTCTTTATACATTTGCCAGTATTTTTAGGCTGTCTTCTGTCATTTTAAATGTATTTTTCTGGTTTTCAGGACCTTTTGGCTGTTGGCTATGGGCACTTTGGATTTAAAGAGCAAAAAAAAGGATTAGCTTGCTGCTGGTCAATAAAGAATCCCATGGTAACCCAAACAGAAATATGAAACATTTTGATTTAGTAGCTATTGACACAAGTTCTCATAAAGTATATAATTGTATATAATAATTAAATAAATTTTATAACAATTAAATTTTCTTCTTCTTGACATAGGATAAAGAGAATTGAAGCCATTCAATAAATATTTATTGAGCATCTCTTATACACTGTTAGATTTGATGAAGTAGTTGAACTATTATTGCTTATCATAGATAATTATAAAGAAGAATGAATCTACAAATGGAAATCCTTTGAAAATAACATGTTTTTTAAAATACTTAGTTATTTCTTAACATATGAATAGCTCCTTACCACCTGATCTCTGCTATCCTCGATAGATACAGAATAGATTAATATGACCTTCTTACTGTCCATGAAGTTTTCAAAGAGAATGAATAAGAATCACAGTATTTTTTTTTTTTTTTTGGTTGGTTGGTTGAAAAGTCCTAGTCAATCTTTTATCTTAAAGTTTTACATTTAGTTTTTACTTTACAATGAAATGTGAAGTGGAAAACTTAGAGAAGGGTCAGAATAGCATATAAAAATCATTAAAATTTTTATAAATAGCCCCAGGATATCAGGAAGTAGGTTTAATAGCATAAGAGAAAGGAAAAAGAAATTTTAAATGTGGAAGGATTGACACAGGATTCATCATCAGTAGCTTGTCTTCTTTTCACGTAAGTGGTTTGAAACAGGAAAGGATTTAGATTAGTCATTAAAAACAAAACAAAATTTAAAAAACAAAACATAAAAACTCTTGATGGGCTATAGAACAGAATACCTTAGAGAGTTTTGGAGCTTTTTCTGTTCATTGTTAAGAAATGATTAGATAACACATGCATCTGAAACAAATACTGGAAGACAGAATATATGCTAGATGATTTGTTTGCTGCCCATTTTTTCTTTCTAAAAGAAAGTAGGTATGTGATTATCATACTAAACCTGCTGAAAGATTATCAAAATATGATAATTATTATAGAAGCCCATGCTGTATTTTTAAAAGCTACAGAGCACTGAGAACTCATGGTAAAGGAAATGACTAATTGAAGATTTATTCTAATCTATACTGAACATTAGGAAAATAGGAATAACTGAATGTGGACTAACTCTTCTCACATACCCACTGCCACCAGACTAGTTTCAGCCACCATCATATCCTGCCCTACTGAGGTGTACAAAACAAGATGAAAATATAATATAATTATTTTTTTATTTAGTGGCCAGAACGTATTTATCAGAGTTCATTTGGAGTTACTGCTGTGGATTTTTCAATTGGAACACCTAATCTTTTAGCAGTTGGCTACCACAATGGCACAATTGCCATTTATAATGTGCAGAACAACAATAACGTTCCAGTTTTGGATAGTAGGTGAGAACCGAAGAATTAGATAAGTATACAATACTTGCTTTTTCAGGAAGATTTACTCTAATATTATTTAGTTTTGAGTGACTAGTTACGTTGTTATTGAGAGCGATACCATCATTTTTGAAACATTAAATAATTTCTTATATTCTCTCCCGCTGGAATGCTCTGTCATAGTATCTCCTTCATCCTCTGCCCACTTTACCAATAAACTTCTTTTGGCTTTTCTTTAAAAAAACAAAACAAAACAGTTTGTGCTTATCTTAAACTATTACTTTTGTGTGACCTGCTCCAGGAAAGCTTCCCCTTTGTTTCTTTTGTGCGGATATGCACCCCTTTATCAGAGCACTTATCACACTGTATGTCGATTATATCTGTCTCTTCCTGAGGAGAGTGTAGCTTCTTGAGAGCAAGGATCGAGTCTTATTTACCTTTGTTCCTTAGTATGTCACACAATATTGTCATGTAACAAGAATACAGTAAATGATTAATAATGAATGAATGAATGAGTTACACTGAGAAAACCAAAAAGCTAAAGCTGAAAGGTATTCAAATAGATTAGGTTTTTGTATTGGACAAGATACCAGTGGGGGTAAAATAAAGTGATATATTTGTATCAGTGTTTGAATAAGTTTAGCTAGAACAGGAAAAAGTCATTAAAGCAGGGGTTCTTAAACTTAGCTTAGGGATTATTTGCAGTGTTGTAAGCATGGGTCTTTGTCTTGTTTCTGGAAAGGGGTCCAGAATTTTTACCATATAATTTAAAGACATCTATGATTTTTTAAATGTTCAGAACTATTGCACCAGAGGGTTTGTATAAAAATTTATAAAAAATCAAGGGAGTCAATACTAGGAGCAGAACACTCCATTAATCTGATAGGAAAAGAGTCAGTAATCTAATAAGTGATTTTCATTTTTCAGAAAAAAATTTTAAATCTCTATCATAGAATCAATCCAGTGGACAATCTGAAAATATAGGAAGAAGAATTATTTACCTGAATAGGATTTAAATGACTAATTGATTTAAGCCATGAAAAAAAAAAGTCTTTATAAAGATGAAGATACTTATATTCAATGCATCTAAATTAAAGTAAAAGTCAATTTACACAACTAAACTAAGAGAAAATGGAGTAAGAAAGTAGATTCTGAAAAGAAATTATTCGCATTTGTGTTCCTGTTATGATAGCTTATATAATTAAGGGCCAGTAAAATTTCCCTTTTGTGGGAAATGAGAAAAACAGCAGTGAATGTTAGGTGGCAAAGTGATTGTCTTTCCTAAATTTCAAAATATTTAAAATAAAAACCCAGTTTTGAACAATAAAAGCATTATTATTTAAGTAGATCATGATTGTCTAGGGAATCTGTCCTTATCACTTATACTCCAAGGCTTTTAAAAACTTATTATGATGATTCTGTAATTAGTATGTTTCCCTGTTTCAGTGAATCACTACAAAAACATTTGGGACCTGTATGGCAACTACAGTGGATAGAACAAGATCGAGGAACAACAGGTGATGACAAAAGAGAAATACTAGTTTCTATATCAGCAGATGGAAGAATCGCCAAATGGGTTATACGGAAAGGACTGGACTGTCATGGTAAAAATAAAATATATCAAATTTTCTTCCCCTTATTATGTGCTGATTTAAAAATTCTTTTTTTTATTTTTTTTGAGACAGAGTCTCGCTTATTGACCAGGCTAGAGTGAGTGCCGTGGCGTCAGCCTAGCTCACAGCAACCTCAAACTCCTGGGCTCAAGCAATCCTTCTGCCTCAGCCTCCCGAGTAGCTGGGACTACAGGCATGCGCCACCATGCCCGGCTAATTTTATATATATATTAGTTGGCCAATTAATTTCTTTCTATTTATAGTAGAGACGGGGTCTCGCTCTTGCTCAGGCTGGTTTCGAACTCCTGACCTCGAGCAATCCGCCCGCCTCAGCCTCCCAGAGTGCTAGGATTACAGGCGTGAGCCACCGCGCCCGGCTGATTTAAAAATTCTTAATGAACTATGTTTGAAAGTGACAAATTTTGAGCTGGCCAATAGAAAATAACTAGGTGTGGTCATTGTTTTTCTAAACATCTAGTTCTAGTATTTGCTAATTTTAACCTAATCATATGCCAAAGATGATAGAAATGGAGTATTGTTTGCAGAAGAAACATACATGATATTTGCAATACTTTTTCATGTGGTAAATAGCAAGTTGTATATTTTTTTTTTTTTAAAGATTTGATGCGATTAAAGCGAACTACTTCTAGCATCAGCAAAAAAGGAGGGGAAAAGGAAAAGAAAGGTGAAGCCTTGATATCTCGACAGGCTCCTGGAATGTGTTTTGCTTTTCATCCCAAGGTAAATTATTTCAATCTATTATTTATTATTGCAAATAACAATTTTCAAAAATTGAAGCTATAAAATAAGATAAAATGTTAGCATGTTAATGAATATTTTGCCTAATATAGAGAGACAGAAAGTACGTAAGTGATTGCCAGAGGCTGGGGGATGGTAGAAAGAGAATAGATGAGTGGGGAGGAGAAATGGGAATGTCTGCTAATGATTGTGGAGTTTGTTTTTTGGGTGATGGTTGCAGAACTCTATGAAAAAATAAACATAGCTGTAGCTGTGTAGGTAGAATAGAACATTCCAGTCGGCTTTCATAAGACCTTCATCTGCTTGTCCAGACAAAAGGTATATATTTCTGAGGAACTAAGGAAGGACTCTACACTTTCATGCTTAACTTGAAAAATTAAACTTGCCTCTCTTACCCCTTTTGGCCACTCTGCTGCTCTATTATTAAACTTAACAGAAACCTAACCCACTGTATACAGTCCTCTGCATTTCAATGTGAGTGATGAGTCTCAGGATGTGGGATTTCTTAAGTTCATGTTTATCAAGACCAGAATTAAATTAGAGCACAGTTAATGCAGTTCTACTTTTTCTAATTCTTTTTACTTAGAAGTACTTTGGAATCAGAAAATTCAGCCACTCTGACAGACTTTTAAGAAAATATATCCCATGTTTTCTGTTACATGTAATATGATCATCTCTTTAGTGACACCACATTTACCTCAGTATGCAAACCAAAATGAGCTCCTTCTCTATTCTACCCTGTTATCCAAATGATATTTAAATCTTATCATCCCTTTCCTTCTAGTCCAAGCCTACTATTGCTAATGTAATTCAGGCCTTTATTATTTTATTACTTTAGCCATCTTCTAACTGCCTTCATTTTCAAGTTCCTATAATCCACCTTCACTTTGGCTCTAGAAAAGTAGTTCTAATGTGGGCAGGGAGGGGTGGATTTTCTCACCAGGGAATGTTTGGCAGTGTCTTACAATGTACAGACAGCTACCACAATCTTGCTATTCCACACTTCCCAACAAAGAATAATCTTGTCCAAACTGTCAATAGTGCCAAGTTAAGAAAACCTAGTCTGGGGTCCTAGAAATGTCTTTGACATGGGAATTCGAGATTATGTTAGTCTGTTCTGCATTGCTATAAAGGAATACCTGAGGCCTATATAGGAATACCTATAAAGAAAAGAAGTTTATTTGTTTCACAGTTTACATGCTGTACAAGAAGCATGGCACCAGTATCTACTTCTGGTGAAAGCTTCAAGGAGGTTCCAATCAATGTGGAAGGTGAAGGGGGAGCAGGTGTGTCACATGGCAAGAGAAAGCACAAGAGAAAAGAGGTAGTGCCAGGCTCTTCTAAACAACCAGCTCTGGCATGAACTAATAAAGCAAGAACTCACTCATTCTGGTGGGAGAGCACCAAGCCATTCATTCATGAGAGATCTGCTCCCATAACCCAAATACCTCTCACAAAGTCCCACGTACAACACTGGGGATCAAATTTCAACATGAGATTTGGAGGGGCTAAGTATCCAAACTATATTAGAGGTATGATATGCTATGCTCTATAAATAAAGGCAATTTTACTTTTTCCTTTCTAGTCTCGTTGCCTTTTATTTCTTTTTCTTGCATGATTGCACTGGTTAGAACTTCCAGTACTATGATGAAAGCAGACATTCCTATATTGTTCCTGATCTTAGGGGAAAAGCATTCAATCTTTCACTATTAAAGATGCCAGTTGAAAGTTTTTTGTAGATGCAGTTAATCAGGTTGAGGAATTTGCGTTACATTCCTAGTTGGTTGAGTGTTTTTATCAGGATGGATGTTGGATTTTGTCAAATGATTTTTCTGTATCTATTAAGATGATTATATAGTTTTTCTTTTTGAGTTTGTTAGTATGATGAATTACATTGACTAATTTTTTGAATGTTTATTCCTGGAATAAACTCCACTTGATTATTATTTAGTACCTTTTTAATATACTTTGAATTTAAATTTGACATTCTAAAATTTTTTTTAGAATTTTTACATATTTGTAAAGGATATTGATCTGTAGTTTTCTTGTGTTGTCTTCTGATTTTGATATCAAGGTAATGCTGGCCCCAAGGAATATTTTTAAAGAATTTGCATAAAATTGATATTATTTCTTCATTACATATTTGATAGAATTAACCATCCAGACCTGGAGTTTTCTTTGTGAGGAGATTTTTAACTTTTGACTACAAATTCAAATTTTTAACAGATGTAGGGTTATTATGGCTATCTATTCCTTCTTGAGTGAGCTTTAGTAATTTGTAACTTTTAAGGAATTTGTCTATTTTATCTAAGTTGTTGAATTTATTGGTAAAATAATAGTCCCTTATTATCCCTTGCATTAAGTGTAGACTATGTATTAATATCTCTTCTTTTTTTTTCCTGATTAGTCTGGCTAGAAGTTTATCAGTTTTATAGATCTCAAAGAACTAGGTTTTAATTTGATTTTCACTATTGTTTTTCTGTTTTCTATATCATTTATTTCCACTTTGATCTTTATTATTTCCTTTCTTCTGTTTATTTGGTTTTAATTTGCTTTTATTTTTCTAGTTTCTTAAGATGATAGCTAAGGTCATTGATTTACAACCTTTATTCTTTTTTAATATAGGTATTTGTGTTATAACATTCCCTCTAAGTACTGCTTTATCAGCATCCCTCAAATTCTGATACATTGTATTTTCATTTTCATTCTGTTCAAAATACTTTCCAATTTCTTCTTTGATGTCTTTTTTGATAGGTATGTTATTTATAAGTATGTTATTTAGTTTCCAAATATTTAGAGATTTTCCAAACATCTTTCTCTTATTGATTTCTAATGTAATCCCACCATGATCAGAGAACATACTTTTTATAACCTGAATCCTTTTGAATTTGTTAAGATTTGTTATAAAGGCCAGAATATGGTCTATATTACTAAATATTCCCTGTGCACCTAAGAAAAATGTATATTCTGCTATTGTTGGGTTGAGTGTTCTATAAATGTCAATCAGGTTAAGTTAGTTCATAGTGTTGTTCTAGTTTACTATATCTTTGCTGATTTTCTGCCTACTTTTTCCAAAAATTATTGAGAGAGATATATTGAAGTCTCCAGCTATAATGAGGGATTTGTGTATTTTTCCTTGCAGGTCTATTTTTTGTTTTGTATATCTTGATGGTTTGTTATTAGGTACATACATGTATGGTTGTAATTATGTCCTTTTGATTAATCAACTCCTTTATCATTATGAGATGGCCTTATTCATAACTGGTAATATATTCTTTACTCTGAAATCTACTTAGTCTCATATTAATGTAGACACTCCAGCTTTCTTTTAACTAATATTAGCATGGTTTATCATTTTTCATCCTTTTTCTTTATAGTTAAAGTACTTTTTTGTAGACAGCATATAGTTGGATCTTGCTTTTTTATACAATCTTAAAATCTCTGGCTTTTAATTGTAATGCTAAGACCATTTACATTCAGTTTGATTATTGATATGGTCTGATTTGAATCCATCATCTTTTTTGACTGGTTTATTAAAGTGGGCATGTATAAAATGTCTGGCCTCTATGCCTTAAGGCAGGACTCTGAAGGGCCATCCTCTCTACAGAGCTTCTTATAGGTTGGACTGAGCTCTCAGGTGCAGTTGCTTCACAGTTCAACTTAAATATCTGTCCGTTCCTGTTTCTCTCATAGAGGTTGTTCCTGAGTGTATTTCCCAATAAACCTCTTACATGAAATTTCAGAGTTTCAGAGTTTATTTACTAGGAAATCCAACTTTTGACAGTGACCTTGACAATCCCTAGAGAAAGATGACCACTTATGAATGGTGTTGGGATAATCATTATCCATATTTTTTTAAAAAAGAAATTAGATTTCTACACTATCATACATAAACACCTTTTAGAAGAAAATATAGGAAAATATCTCTATGACCTCAAGGTATGGAAATATTTCTTAAACAAAGCACAAAAGATGCTAAATGTAACAAAAAATGAGAACTTCTGTTTATCAAAGAAAATATAAAGAAAGTAAAACAATAAGCCATACACTGGGAGAAGATACTTGCTACATATGTTATAGACAGAGCAATAGAATCTAGAATATATGAAGAACTTATATAAATGAATATGAAAAAGACAAATTATTAGTAAAATGGTCAAGAGACATAAACAGAAGAGAAAACACAGATGGTCAATAAACATAAAGTGTTCAACCTTATTTATGTAAATGAGACTTAAAATCATGAGATATACTTTTACATCTAATAAAATGGCAACATTTAAGATTTCTGATGTAACCCAACTGTGGAAGAGAATGTGAATCAAAGGGAATTTTTATATACTGCCAATGAATGTAAATTGGTAATACCATTTTGGTAGATATTGTACTGTATTGTGTAATTTAAAGCTGCCAGGTGGGGTGGTGCTTGTCTAGAGGCTGAGGCAGGAGAATCACTTGAGCCCAGAGTTTGAGGTTGCAGTGAGCTATGATTGTACCACTGTACTCTAGTCTGGGTGACAGAGTGAGATCTTTTCTAAAAAATGAAATAAAATAAAATAAAATAAAACTGCATATTTGTCTTCTCTTTTACTCATTCTAATGAAAGAGCTTACTTACTCTTAACTGTTACTTACTATTTTCCTGGACTGCTACCATAGTTCCATTGTCAAGAATCTGTAATGTTAGAAAGTTTCTTCCTCATTTTAAGCCAAAGTTTTTCCATATAACTTCTAGACTGGATATTAAATGCTAGCCACTATTCTAGCAAAGGATGAATCTATATTTTCTTTTGCATAGTAGTCTAGAGGTAGTTTCATTATTATAAAATCATGACAGAAAAAAAAATAAGACATCAGACACCTAAATTCAAGATAGTATTTCTAGTTTGGGTTCTTGAACTGATTTTAATAGATTCTAAATTGTCTAACCTTCTGTTTAGCACACTTAATAATATGCATTTTGATTTGTGTTGTAGGATACAAATATCTATTTGGCTGGCACTGAAGAAGGCCATATTCACAAATGTTCTTGTTCATATAACGAACAATACCTAGAGACCTACAGAGGGCATAAGGTTAGTTTAATTATAATAGGTATGGAGAATTTAATTTATCTTGTAGTATTTCTGGAAAAAAAACTGTATCATTAATATCATTATATACAGTGTATTCAACATGCAGTCAATTTACACCTTCAGAATTAACAATGCCAACTTGAATTAAGTGCTTTTTTTCTGTGGAAACCCCGGTGGGACATTTTATTTGGCTTCTAGATATCCTTGACTTCTTTTTGCAAGTTTTGGAAGTCACAATTTTTGTTTCTAAAAGACTTTGCTTATGATAACATGCTGATCCCAAAGTAAAATTGTCTCTTGCTCATGCCTATTCTCTATTTTTTTTTTTTTTAAGAGACACAAGTCTTGCTATGTTGCCCATGCTGTCCTTGATCTCCTGGACTCAAGGGATCCTCTCACCTCAGCCTCCCAAGTAGTGGGACTATGTACTCTATATCTTTTTATGATTGTACCATTCATGTTTTCTTCATTTACTCCATCATTCCTTTTTTTCTTAATGTTTTATTTTTTTAAGTAAGTATGTATGATATAATATTGTAGCAACTATATTTTTATGTTTCTATGTGGAATAATTTAGGGAAGATTCAATTTATCATCTTATTCTCCGCTACAGTAATGCCCACACAATTGTGGATGGTATGGCTGGGTGTAGTGGCTCATGCCTATAATCTTAGACTTTGGGAAACTAAGATGGGAAGATTGCTTGAGGCCAAGAGTTCAAGACCAGCCTGGGCAACATAGCAAGACTCCATCTCTAAAAAGAAAATTAAAAAATTAGACGGGGATGTTGGCATGCACCTGCAGTCCTCGCTACTCAGGAGACTGAGCCAGGAGGATTACTTGCGCCCAGAAGGTTGAAGTCGCAGTGTGCTATGATGGTGCCACTGCACTCTAGCCTGGCACAGAGCAAGACCCTGTCTAAAAATAAAATATATAAAATAAAATAAAACGGTAATCTAGAAATCTTAGCAATTTTAACTTGCTGATTGAATTTAAAATATAGGATGTTAAATATCATCTACCTATGTATTTTAATTTATTTTTTTATTTCTAGGGTCCAGTGTACAAAGTAACTTGGAATCCATTTTGTCATGATGTATTTTTAAGCTGTTCTGCAGATTGGGGTCTTATTATATGGCAACAGGATAATATCAAGCCATTTTTGAGTTTTTATCCAACTACTTATGTAGTTTACGATGTTGCCTGGTCTCCAAAATCAGCCTATATCTTTGCAGCTGCAAATGAGAGCAGAGTGGAGATTTGGGACCTTCACATCAGTACGTAAGTGTTAATATTTTTCTTGGGGATATTTCTAGTAGAAACAGTTCAAACTAAATGATACTGATAGTTTTGACATCAGTTAGAGAGTACTATAGTTACTTGAAAAGTAATAATAGTGTACATTATGAGAGTCCTCTATGAATAAAGATGCATGACAGGATACTATATTAATGTTAATTACTTATACCCTATGTGGTTTTAAAATGTATGAATGAAAATAGTTTACCTAACTCATCTCCTCAAACTTTTACAGGATGATATAAGATGTTACATAACTATCTTGAATTCTTATTGTCTGTTTATAGAAGAACGTATCTTTTCTCTTAAGGCCTTCACCTAAATTGGGTGAAACCTAGCCATATTATAGAGGGTAATCAACTTTATTCAAAGTCTACTGATTTAAATGTTAATCACATCTAAAAAAAATACCTTCACAGCAATGTGTAGACTAGTGTTTGACTAAACAACTAGGTACCATAGACTAGCCAAGTTGACACACAAAATTAATCATCACAAAAGTTTAAATTTATAGGCTCAGACCTTAATTGTGAATTAATTTAATTTACCTGGTTGAAGAAATGATAGTTTTGATTGAGTAAGGAATGAGAAGCAGTTATTTTTGAGCTTGGAAGCACTTGAAGTTTCTGGGTTTTGTTATATGAAATAAAAAAGAAATCTCAAAACTTTTCTTAGTCTGTATATTTAGAAGACCATATTAATATAACAACCGAATTTACAGTTAAAATATTTCATTGCAGTTTGGACCCTCTGATTGTGCATGTTGCTAATCCTGGAGTCAAGTTCACAACCATTCTCTTTGCCAAACAAACAGATTGCCTTCTGGTGGGAGACAGTGATGGACAAGTTGCTGTGTATGAACTGAGAAATATGCCTACTGCTTTGGATTCTGTCCGGGTAAGACTCAAAAGTAAAGAATGGGTGTCATTTTATGAGTCTATTCATAAAATGTTGTACTTTTGTAGCATGCAAGGGATTTACATTTCTTAAGTATCTTAAGGGTAAGGTATGGAAAGAACATAAGTTGCAAGAGTTACCACCTACTAGGCATAATACCTATTAGGCTTATTTTCTTTCAACCTCACTTTCTTTATCTATAAATCATGTAAAATAATAGTGTTACTGAGCACAATAATTATAAATATTATGTAGAAGAACTTAAAATTGTACCTAGTATATAGTCAGGACTTAATAACTTTTAAATAAAGCTGAAGAAGTTTGTTTCATATATGAAAGATTTTTACATGAAGTAATTGTATTTTTCAATACTATCCAATGTTCATGAAAACAGGCATTTTCTGTTGGCATTATCCTATTCTCTTACTCTGGTCTTCAAATATCAAAGTCTTGTTGCCAAGCATTGACAAGCAACTCAGTATCACTAGGTTCCCATCATTTTTACAATAGCTTTTCAAGGGTTTTTTTTCTGTTTCTTACATTTAAATTGTTACTGCAAACAATAATCTGGTAAATATTACCACAAATATTATCAATATGTTAAAAATATTAAAAATATGCACAAATCAATTAAAAAACCCACCAGACTCCAATAGAAGAGTGGGCAATGATCAGGAACAGGTCATTCACAAAAACTGACTAGTAAATATATTTTAAAACCTTTCTAATAACTAAATAAGTAAAAATATTATTAAATTAAAATGTGATAGTATTCTCATATATCAAATTAATAAGGTTTATTAAAAATATTTTATGGGACTCCTCAATACTGGCAAACATTTGATAAGTCCTATTGTACTGATTCTTGGAATAGAAATTGGTATAGCCTCTTTGAAATGTATTTGACAGCCTGAATCAAGACCATCAGAAATGTTCAGGGAATGTTCATTCCCTTTAACTAGTAATTACACTTCTGGGACTCTATCCTTCAGAAATATTCATAAATGCGATAAAAAATTAATTATTGCATTACTTGTGATAGGATAAAAGAAAAGAAAAAGGAATAATATAAATATCCAACAAGAGGGAAATGTGACCAGGGGAATCAGATGGTTGATGAGATCAGGCTCACATGTAGGAGGTAGAGTTCTACCCCAACCATATGGATTGCAAATGTTAAATAAGTAAATAAATAAAATGCTTAGGACTTCATACTTGTCATTCACTTGGCCTAAAATCCACAAGGTTTGTTCTTTTGCCCACTCAAATGTCATTTTCCCAGTGAAGTCTTTTCTGATGATCTTATTTAAAAATTGTAACCTCTGCTCTTTCTCATGCTCCCTATTCAATACTCTTGCATGACTTGTTTTTCTTAATAACGCTTATCACCTTAAAATAAATATAAATTTATTTATGTATTTTATATTTATTTATGTATACATTTATATATTCTAATATGATTTATTTATGTATTTTGTTATTACACATGTCCCACAACTAGAATGTAACTCCATGAAAACAGTGATTTTTTGTCCTTTTTGTTCTGGGCTGTGTCCTCCTGGCCTAGTGTAGTATCTGGCTTATAGTAGTTATTCAATAAATGCTTTTTGAATAAATATGCATTGAAAATTAGAAGAAGAAATCAATATATTATAAATATTATTTCTTGGGGTGGGATTATGATGAATTTTATTTTTTCTTTTTTTGCTTATCTGTTTTTCAAATTATCTACATGACATAATTTTTTTTCCCAAAATTCACTGGTCTCCTTATGTAATAATTTTAGTCTACTCTGAGGAATGCAACCCTAATGGCTTACTTTTCATGACATAAGACATTTTAGTATTTTCAATTCCTCACACATGAGTTGAGTATAAGATATTTTAATAGGTGATAGGATGTTTATCTCCACATTGAAACTTGTCTAAGATACACAACTCATCAGCCAAAAGAAATTTAAAGAAAATTTTATTCTTTATTCACATCTCTTAAAATTCATTTAAGTAGATCCAAATACATAGTTTATAATAATCCTTTTTCTTCTTCTGTCCATATCTCTCAAATCCTAAATGTAGCCTCAAACCCTAATCCTTCCTTTTTTATCTCTATTATTCTTTTAGTTCTGTTCCACAAGAGCTCTAAGAACTTGTCCACAAACTGAACTTGGGGCAGTGGGGAGGAGGAGTTCAGTTGTTTTGAGTTGTTCTAAAATGTTTGTTAGTGTGTATTGGAGGTAGCAGTGGAAGGGAAGTCTGTGAGCATTAGCATATTGATTCTTTTCATTGCATATATGTCTGTAGAACCTATCAAGTACTATAATTATCAAAATAAATTACAATATTTTGTATACACGTCTTTTTTACTAGTTTGAGCTACTTGGAAACTTGTGTATTCAAGTATCTAGCACACAATAGGCATTCAGTGAATGTTGAATAAATGTCTGAATGAACAAACACACACACACACACAAAGGCATATAATTTTTAAGAAAGGGACAAGGGATATTCAAGAAACTATGATCAAGTCATCAAGTCATAAAGAACAGAATAATAAACTCCTATAGAACCACAGAGCAGAAAAATAATTGATTTTTGAAAGGCAAATAGGAAGAAGAAAAGGAAAAAAAGAGAAGAATGCTTTGGGGATGACTTTCACAAAGGAGATTAAATTTCAACTATGTTTGTCGGTTTAGGATTTTTCCTTGCAGACCAAGGGTGGAACTGTTATTCTAGACTGAGGAGAAAGGCTTGAACAAAGATAAGGAATTAGAAAGGTCCATGGCATTTTAAGGAAATGCTAAATTGGTTCATTTGGGATCAGAAAAAGTATGACTGTCATGATAAAGAGTTTGATCTTTATTCTATGGAAAATGGAAAGCCATTTAAGGTTTACAATTCTAAAAGTGACAGGAAAAAAATTAAATTAGATCCCTGTCTCATACTTTGTACAATGGTTAAACTCCTTTGTGAAAAACAAAAAAAAGAACTAGAAGAAAATATTGGAGCATATCTTCATGCTTTAAGGGCAAGGATAGATTTTTTTAAAGTAAGACTAAAAAACAAAACCCCTTAATTTTTGTGTTTCCTTATTTGTAAAATGGATATAATAATGGCACCAGAATCAAAGGTTGTTAGAAAGATGAAATGAGTTAGTAGGTACAATATAGTTGAAACTGTTATTAGCACATAGTAAGCTCTCAATAAAACCCAACTATTCTTTATATGATTATTACATCAAAATTAAAGTTTTCTATTCAAGATTTCATTTGTCAAATTAAAAGTAACAGATTGGAAGACGAGATTTCCAACATATATAACAGACATTTAGTAGCTAGTATATACAAAGAACTCTAATAAAACAATAAGTCAAACAACTCAATTTTTTAAATGGGCAAATATATAAAATAGTAATTCACAGAAGAGGAAACTGGAATATCAAATAAACTTTTGAAGCAACATTCATTGTCACTAGCAATGAGGAAATATGCTAGTAAAATTATGTAAGATACTAGTTCATACTGATTGGATTTACAAAAATTAAAATGTCAGCCAAACTCAAATGCTAGCAAAGTTGTAGGGAATTAGGAACTACCTAAAAGTTCCCTATTCTGATGAGAATATAAATTATAATAGCCTCTTTCAAGAGCATTTCAATAAAACAGAAAATTCAAATGCCATATAAGCCAGTGATACCATAGAAAATTACATTTTACACATGTATATCAGGAGACATGTATAAGGTATCAATGTGTTTTTATTTCTTTTTTCTAATGTTCCCTAAGGTAGTCTTAATACATAGAAAAGATTACCCAGTCTACTTTGGCTTATATTCAAATGATATGTTGTAAATTGAAAAAAAATAGTTCACCTTAAGTTCTTACATTTAGATTACATATTTCATTTTTCTGTTTATAAGTCCAGCAGATTTTATTGTAATATATACTTTTAAGTGAGATTTTTGTAACTTAAATTTTAAAAAATATTTTAAATTTCATTTATAAATTTAATATATTGGATTTTTAATTACTTCCATTGTCTTATAGACAAACAAATCTCAGATACTTAAGGAATTCATATTAATTTCATAAACATTTTAAATATGATGAATCACATTTTCTTAAGTGTTCCAATGCTGTTTACAAATTAGTAAGATTTCAATCTGTGATCACAAGTGTATATCAATTACCCGATGGCACATTTATATAAGAATCAAATGTTTATCTGTTAGGCAATCTAACGTGGCAAACTCTCTTTATATGATCAATATTTAAAATATCAAGTATGTGTAAATCCCTTGATGCAGAGAATATTAAAATTATCTGTTTGATTTGCTGTATCATTTAGAGTAAAAAGGAATAATATTATAAGTATTTTTGGAGATTCTTTTCTCAACTGACTGAGATGTGTTATTGACTTAAGATTTTAGCCAAAGAATGAGATCTGAAACTTTGGACATTTAAGGGGATTTTCTTAAATACATTAGCTACCTAGCTGAGCCCTGTTTTACAGTTGATTTGTCAATATACTCCAAATGGAATTGTCTCATAGCCCATGTCTCCTAAAGCCTAGTTACATATTATCTAAGTCCTCCGTCTTCTCACGGAAGTCTGCAACCCTGCCCATGTTGCTGCATCACTTGTTTGACTTCATTTATTTACCATGTCATTAAATTCTAAATTATAATAGTTTTCCTATTGCATGCAACTGCTACCCATATAGATTTTTAAATGACATCTGATTAGAGTCTGTATATATTTCAGGGCTTTAACTTACTGGTAATTGTGTGAAAAAAACATGCTAATGAGAAAATAGGTTTATAGCAGCTTTGTTTCTATAATATATTGATAAATTGAAAACAACCTAAATGATCAACAGTAGAGGACTGGATCAGTAAAATGTGGCATTTTCACATGTGTAACTATATGCAGATATTTAAATGATATATATCTTAAGGTATTTATGTAACAAATTTTGAATAAGTCTAAAAAATATAGTGTTAAATGAGAAAAGCAAATTTCAGGAAGGTAAGTAAAATATGCTGCAATTTATGTAAATGTTATTTAACCACAAAAATAAAAACAGTATTCTTTTTTATTTTTTTTTTATTTTTTTATTTATTTTTTTTTTTTGAGACAGAGTCTCACTTTGTTGTCCAGGCTAGAGTGAGTGCCGTGGCGTCAGCCTAGCTCACAGCAACCTCAATCTCCTGGGCTTGAGTGATCCTTCTGCCTCAGCCTCCCGAGTAGCTGGGACTACAGGCATGCGCCACCATGCCCGGCTAATTTTATATATATATATCAGTTGGCCAATTAATTTCTTTCTATTTATAGTAGAGACGGGGTCTCGCTCTTGCTCAGGCTGGTTTTGAACTCCTGACCTCGAGCAATCCGCCCGCCTCGGCCTCCCAAGAGCTAGGATTACAGGCGTGAGCCACAGCGCCCGGCCTCTTTTTTATTTTTAATTATTATGGGTACATAATCACTGTAAATCTTTGTAGGCTACATGTGATGTTTTGATATAGTTATACAACAATGTGGATTAATCAAATCAGGGTAATTAAGAGATCCATCACCTCAGGAGTTTGTCATTTCTTTGTGTTATTCTTAGTGGACATATATTTAGTAAAAGTATAAAACATAGACTGGAATATGGAAGAAAAATGCTTCATTTTTGTGTTTGGATTTGAACTGGTTAGAACCATCTTTTATTAATAATTAAGCAGTATGCTCTACAAGCAGAAAGCTGAGCTTAAAGAGTCTGAACATTTTTGGCAGACTTGCATGTGTGTGTATGTGTTAGTGATTCCGAGCCTGGTGAGCAAAGTTTTCTTTTAACAAATCTATTCCATACTTTAGTAAATGAAGACAATTTCCTGATACAAATATGTTTTTCATGATTTTGATCACTATATTTGAAAGGTTTAAGGTTATATTTTTGGGAGATTAAATTTAAAAATCCCATTAATCAGGTTTGTTGTTACTTACAAACAAATACATGCTAAATGAATTGATATACCTATGGTCATAATTGTAATTTGAAGTCTCAAAGTAACTAATGTCAAAAACATTATTTCCTATCAAAGTATCTTATCAAGTAACATTATGACCTATAATTTTTAAAATTTTAACCAAGACTGAATCAAAGTTTTGGAAGGCTTGTGATTTCATTCTATAGGGAAGATGTACACCAAATTTATGATAAAAGCTGCCTCTGGGAAGTGAAGAATAAGGGAAGAACAGGATTAGGAAGGTATACAAAGGTAACTTTTATTAGTAAAGTTTTATTTCTTTTATTAAAAAATATACAAAGCAAAGATGACATTTGTTGTTTTGGGTGGTGTGTGTTTTGCAAACAAAGCCAAAGTACCAGGCATGCTAAAGCAGTATTCATTGAGGAAAAACCCATGAAGATCAATAGCACTTTTAAGACCACATCTCTCCCTCCCTTCTGTATTGCCACAAAGTCACCCTCTGTGACTGCATAGCAGAAGAACTTTGATTCTTGGCCTGGTTTTAAGGGACACAATTTCTGAAACTCTGGCCCCTCCCTGAAGAGATCAAGGACCAGAATACTATTGTGATGGAATATGGCAGAAAGTTGGCTCCAGTCCTATCCTACCAGCTCAGGGTTCATGATCAGGAATAACACCAGCCTGGGTGTAAACAGAAGACTGGGATCCAAAACTTGCAGCTATAACTTTGTTATGTAGATAACTGTTGACTGGATTTACCACCACATTAGCATTCATGACTAGGGCAACATCAACTCTACTTCTGGCATCATGAGGGTTGGTTGCTAAGGGTCTAAGTCTCACATTGAACAGAATTATGGTTTAGTACTTGGCAAAAGTGAATTTCAATGGAAAATTGCAGGAAAAGCAGCTCCTTTTCTGGAAGCAGACTGTAGAGAATCATCACTTTTATATACTATTATATTTTTACTATTATGATTCAGTATACAAATGTTTGCCATATTTTTTTCTGTGCTTTTGATGTTTATCTTTTTTGAAAATTAAAGGAAAAATAAAAATATAACTGAAATGTTCAAAATAGGGTTTCGGAAACATAAATCTGTAACATGTAAATATATAAGAAATGCTGACAGACACTGAAAGTAGAAAAAATAGAACATTTATTCTTTCATTTATTCAACAAATACTAAACTATGTGACAGGGTCTATTATAGGCACTAAGGATAACATTGAACACATTATAATAGTGATCTATTATATTTGTCCAAATGAGAGACTGAAATAGAAAGAGATGGGTTTGAGAAACACATTAAGATTAGGATTGACACGATTTGGCAACTAATTTGATGTTTCAGGGCTTGAACAATGGGGAAGTACCAAAGATAGTATCATATCGGCCAAAAGACAGGAACTGACTTATATTATCTAAAGTGTTTATAACTCTTTAAGGTTTACAAAGTACTTTCAGGTAAATTAGCTCATTCAACTCTCATAACAACCTTTAGAAGTAAATGTTAATATTTTCATTATACATTTGAAGAAAGTAAGGCTCCCAGAGTTCAGTGATTTTCTCAAGATTACATTAACTATGTGACAGAGAAAACTCTTTTGCTTTCAGTTCCTATCTTTTCACTATATTCTCTCTTTCTTGAAAATTCACCTCTCATCTATGATTTTTATCCCTTATACTTGATTATTTTACTCCTTTTAATGCAAATGTCAGTATCATTTAATAAAAATAACAAGACCCACGTGGAAATTGAGAAGTTCTACTCTCTAAATCAAGCATTAACAGATCAGGAAAGAGCTTAAAATGTCATTAAGTTTAATAGGTATTTACAAATGAGAAAACTCAGGTGTAAGCATTAAGGTTAAATAGGCGCTGCCAAAATTGTCCCCTTACTGAATCCTTATGAGATTATTTATCAAACTTCATTAAAAGAGTCTTTCATAGGAAAGAGTAGGTTTATACTAGGAAGTTAACTGTTACTATTTAAACTTACTTTTGTTTGTTTCCTTTTTACAATCTTATTGGATGCCCTTTATATGTCTATCACTAACTTATAAATTTTAAATGATGTTTTAAAGACTCCTTTACCTTTTAATTTTTATTTTATTGCATTATAATTTTGTGGCTTTTTTTCTTTTTTAGGGAGATGTAATAGATTCTTTGCTTGGATCCAAGTCAAACCAACCAGGATAATTCATCTTTGCTAATGTCATTTTTGTTGTTGTTTAAAGAAAAAGGAACAGTGTTTAATATCCAATAGTTTGTATTGTATTCTGTATACCAGATTTTGATTTTAGAAAATTATATCCACTTAAATTTGATATAAATTTAGTAAACTTTATTTTAGAGATATTTCATTAATTTGTGATCTAAGCTAAGAGTTATTCTAATTAAGAGTGAGTTTTGTTATAATTTTCTTAATTTTTCTAAAGATATTCCTACTACTTGGTCATATTTCAAATACATATAAGTATATGTATGTATGTATAAAATGTCCAAATAGGCTAGAAAATTATTATTCCTTTTGAAGCAAAACTTAGATATTATTAGAATTACTTAAACTGAAATCTTCATAAGAAAATTCCATTGACTTTTAAACTTCTGCTTTCCAAGCTATTTTCCAGGGTTTATAATTATGTAGTTGTTAGTATGATGAGAACTGTGGATTCTCATATCCAACTTTGAATCAGAATTGTATTCTCCTAGATCTGAGAGCTGAAGCTATAGCACTTCCTTAGATTACTTGACAAGCAAAAGACATGACAGCAAATACCAGAATTGCACTGTTTAGCCAGCGGGCATCACATTCCCAATTTAGTGAGAAAAATTAATCTAGGACACATCTGCATGCACAGAATCTGCTCTAGATTTTAAGCACAGACTTAAATGGACCCAGACAGAAAAAAGATTTGTAGGCCACACCAGGCTGTTATTTTGTGAAGGGTTCTAGAGTAAATTTGTGGAAATGAAGATGGGGATAGAGGACAGTGACTCCTCCAAATATAGATTGCTAGCAGGTTATTTTATGCACTTTGTTTTAACAAGTCCTGGGGTTGTTAACTGAGGCTGTAGGATATTATGGCCTATTCTATAAAGCATTCTGAGTAGAGAGGAAAGGATAGGAAATGCACTAAACTCACTGGGAAAATACATGTATATTAAAAGCCAAGAATGGAATCAGTGCAATAATGGAAACTACCTTTTACAAATATCTATTGCTTTATATCTCCATTTCTTTGGAGCCACCCTTTAAGGAAAAGCAACGCAATTTTTAGGTGGATTTTGAGCTTAGGTCAGGTTATAAGGATTATAAATTTTCTACTGGTATAAGTCATTGCGATTATCTTTGTCTTTCTGAAAGATTGGACTTTCCATAACATTTTGTTTAAGAAAATAAAAACTTGATTTGATTGAAAAAAGTGTGTTCCTATTATTATTATTATTTGTAGAGACATGGTCTTGCAATGTTGCTCACTTGGTCTTGAACTCTTGGTCTCCCACTTTGGCCTTCCAAAGTACCTGATTTACAGGCATGAACCACCATGCCCATTTTTGATCTTTAAAATATTTTCACATATTTGATCTTTAAAATTTTTTCACATATTTTGATCTTTCAAATTTTTTCACATATTTTCCTTTAAAATTTTTTCACATAGGTTTATCAAACCTACATGAAAAATAATGCTATTCTTGGATCTTGGGCACCTGATCCTAAAGCACTAAATCTATTTCATTCTGCTCTTCTCATCCATGCTCTTGCAGTCTTAAGTGATTCTCCCATACTTTAACATCAGATTTTTACTCTAAGATTTCTTACCTGGGAACTTCAGAAGGAATTATTTTGCTTGATTTGTAGACTGGCTTTCAGTCTTTACTAGTAAACTCTATTTACCACAAGTTTTAAAGAATTGAGTAACAATTCTGTTCAGCCATTAGCCATCTCATGTTATCCTTAAACACACACATATACACCCCCGTGTGCAAGCGAGGGACCTAAGGAGGAAGTAGTGATTCTACTAACTTTAGGCTCCTATTTTGTGCTAGGCATTCATTACTTCATTTGGTAATTTTCTACTAGGTATCTCTCATATAGAACTTACATAATTGTTGCCTGAGAGTAAATTGTTAGCTGCTCTTCCAGCTGAGGTAGGAAAGGAAGATTGTATTCACTACTGTATAATTGTGTATCATATTTAGTGTGTTAACTTGGTTCACCTCTATGTAGTTCCATACAATTATAAGTGAAAAAGTAGAACACTTAGTATTTGCTACTTTGTCTCAACTGGAGTCTCTTTAAAAGAAAATATTGAATTTTACTGTCAATATATTTAGTTATCAACATATTAGTAATATTGCCCATTAAAGTTCTTTACAGCTTGCAAAACACTTTCATGTCTATTATGCTTGTGTATCCTCATAGCAATCCAATGGGCTCAGTAGTTGTAATATTATCATAATTTCCATTTTCCAGATGATACAATTAAGGCTTGAAGAGGTGATATAACAAGCCAAAGACCATATAGCTGATAAGTGGTCAAGCTTGAACTCAAGCCTAAAGCTTTAAACTGTTCTTATATATTTCCCAGTATTGTGTAGTAAATGGTTAATGCCCTATATAGTTTGCTGAGGTCTCATACACCAAAACGTGAGCATGCATATTTTTCCATTATTAAGGTTTTATCCATAAATGAGAATGCTCATAAACTTGGTTTTTCTCAGTGTTGTTCTGTATTCCTTCTGTTGGGAACACCCTCCTCCCACTCCTCACTCTTCTTCAACATGTCAACTCTTTACTCACCTTTCAAACTTCAGTTCATATCTCACCTTCTCAGAAGAGCCCTTTCTGAGCTCCCTCCTGTAAGTCTTACCACCTAACCACACTAAATTTGGTTTTTTTGTTAAACGTTCTCAAGCCACCATGGATTTCCCTCATAGCACTATTTCAGAAAAGGAAACACCAACTCTTTGATGACAGAAGGGCCTTGGCACAAAGTAAGAAGCTGTAGTAACATCAGAGAAGGGGAAGGAAACCAAGCCCAAGTTGAACATTAACTTGTTTTATATGTTGTTTGTTTCTGCCAGCTGGGTGGAATAGAGATGTGGAGTCAGAAATTAAACTGAGTCATGGAAAATGTATTTCTTGGATAGCTGAGTTTCTAAACTAAGATTCATACCTAAAGTGCTAGATGTTTATTTGTGTGATCATTTGTTTAGTTCACCTCTCCTAGACTTTACGCTCCTTGAAGGTAGGGACAATGTGTTTTGCTCACCACACCATTTCCAGCAACTAAAACAGTACCTCCAGAGAGCAGTAGTACAACAAACACTCGTTTTATAAATGAATAATCAAATTAATGGGAAAATGACTTTATACTTGTCTCCTATCATAACATGATCTAATATTGATATTTTAAATGTAATTTCCTTTAATTAAGATAAGAATATCTTAATATCACAAAGGGTAAAATATTTTAACTATAGAAAACATATATTAATAGAACATAAACTCATTCTGGAAAGTTGATAAACATAGTCATAGCTTTCTTTGTTCTGTAAGAATATAAAGTCAATTTTTCCCATCAAGACAAATCTCAAGACTCAAAACTAATCTACGATCCCTTTCTTTTGGTGAGTATTGCTGTTACTTTGTGAGACTGGGTTTCTACCAGCTATTTGCGGAACAATTTATATTCAATGTAAAGCACCTAGCATAATGCCTGGAACACAATAGTCAGTCAAAAATGGCAGCTCTCCATGGTTACAGTTTACCACGATAAAAGGAAAAATGGAAAAAAAAAATGGTAAGTTTCATTTTGACTATCCCAGAGCCATATCCCTATGTTCTGGTCTGAGAACCTCCTTGCCCTTTGTGGTTGATTGGGTCCTTGCCAGGCCCACTCCTTCTACAGACTGTGCTAGTGACTTCATTTATACAATATTTAAGCTTTGTGTCTTGTTTGTTCAGGATTTTGTAGAATGTTCAAATTCATCCTCAAATCCATACAACATTTACTAGGCTATTAACCTTCATTTTCTTAGGTTAACATACCATTTGGTGATAAAACTAAAAGGCTTACAGTTTACATGAAACTAATTCCTGGGTTAAATAGAAAGCACAACATGTCCATTAAGTTGAAACATATAAAACATTGTTATGAATCTTATACAAATGAGCACTGCTTTTTTTAAATGGATGAGACATTTATGTAGCATCCAGAGCAACTCATGAAAAATGTACTGTCACCACCACTGTATTTTCTTTGAATAAGTCAACTATTAAAAGACATGGTGCCATGATACCTGGAACAAAGGATCCCAGGTGTTTTTATGGGTCCTACATCAGAATTTGCTGATAATAATTTTATTGAATTTTCCAAATTATGGCACACATTTTATTTATTTATTGAGTCTTTATTTCTAAAAACCCAGGGACAATAAAAACATAAGAAGAAAATAGCTGCTTTAAACATCAATTACTGTTTTCTAAGATATATTTTCAAAACATTTCACTTGCTCATTTAATTTTATTTTGAGTATTTGTTTTGCATTTTTTCCCAGCTTTTTTGAGGTATAATTGACGAATAAAATTATATATATTCAAGATGTATAACATGATAGCTTGATATATAGATATACACATTATGAAATGATTACCACAATCAAATTAATTAACACATCCATCATCACACTTAGTTACCATTGTGTGTGTGTGTGTGTGTGTGTGTGTGTGTGTGTGTGTAAGGACACTTAAGATCTACTCTTAGTAAATTTCAGGTAAACAACACAGTATTATTACCTACAGTCACCATGCCGTACATAAAAGATCCCTAGAACCTATTCATCATAACTAAAAGTTTTTGCCCTTTGACCAACATTTCTCCCACCCACCCCCTAGCTTCTGGCAACCACTGTTCTAGTCTGTTTCTGTGAGTTTGCTTTTTTGTAAGATTCCACATACAGGTGAGATCATACAGTATTTGTCTCTCTGTGTCTGACTTATTTCACTTAGCATGGTGTCCTCCAGATTCATTCATGTTGTCACAAATGGCAGAATTTCCTTCTTTGTAAAGGAGGCAAGGAGTTTGAGACCAGCCTGGGTAACATACCAAGACCCTGTGTCTATAAAAATATAAAAAATTAGCTGAGTGTAGTGGTACATACCTATCATCCTAGCTACTTGGAAGGCTGACGCAGGAGAATTGCTTAAGCCCAGGAGTCCGAGGCTGTAGTGACCTATGATCACACCATTGCACTCCAGCCTAGGTGACAGACTGAGATCCTGTCTCAAAAAAAAAAAAAAAAAAATATCACTATAATGAGTGGTAAGAAAGTTTAATCCATTAAAATTATGCAAAACGTTATCTAGATAATGGTTATTTCACTACCCATTCTACAGATACATGAAGAGTAGAAGCGAATCAGATTTAAATAGTGGAGGAAACGGTATGTGTAAAGGCCTGAAGAGAGAGAGAATATGGAATTTCAAAATCTGTAAGGTGTTTGGTATACCTGAACCATTTAGAGTTTTGAGGGTATCTAAAACAGCTGAACCTGAAAAGGTAGAAAGAGGTGAGATTATGAAATGTCTTGTAGATCATGTTAAAGAAATTTAGACTTTTTCTTGAGAGAAATGGGAAACTATTGGACAGTTTTAAAGGTGGATAACAATCACATATTTTAGAAGGATCATTCTGGCAGCAGTGTGGAAAATGGATTGATGGCAAGGCCAATTGAGGGGCCATGGTAGTAAGGCAAGTGAAAGTTGAAGTCCTGGTGGAGGGGATAGAGAGCAGTAGGTGGATTACAGAGGAATTTAGATGAGACTTGGTGATTTAATGGATGTTTGTGTATGGAGATGGTTTAGTCGATGGAGAGTGAGAGAATGAGGAATTGTGCTTGACTCCCAGGAATAGGCAGATGGATAGCTGTGCCATGATGAAAACTCCATCTAGAAGCGTTAAGAATGAGTATTAGCCAAAGATGAGCAGGTACTAACTTTGTGTTAGAAACTAATAAAAAATAAATTAGTGTTTGCTAATGAATGTACATATAGTGATCTCATAATCATCATTACCATAAAATAATTACATGTGATATGCTTTGTAATTTATCAAAGCTATAATTAACATTACCTTAATTGATCCTGTGATATTTTTCAATGTAACAAATTAGAAAATCAAATTGCAGTTTAAATACTTTCTTAAGGTCTCTAATTCTAGACACCAGAGTAGCAATACTAAAACTCAAGCATCTTAATACCAAGGCTACTAGGCACTATGTGTTGGAATTATCACCATTATAATTATAATCAGTGGCCAATTTATTGAAAATTCCCCTTGTGCTAGAGACTCTGATGAGCACTCTTGCCATAATTTAATCCTTATAGTTATTCTAATGAAGTCAGTATCTTATCTCTATTTTACAAATGAAGAAACTTAGATTGAGAGATATAAAATATGTTCTAAGGTCTCAAACACATTAATTAAATGGCAGAATTGAGATCTGATCACCCAAATCTGATGACATACATAGTACATATAATTCAAGCCAACCTGCTCCCAACACCATCTATTAGGCATACTGTGGCCATAGTTCCTCAATAAATGGCATAATATATAAGTGAAAGATATATTTACTGAATCTACTCTCTGGATGTTAATTTGGATTTTTGGTTCACATTAATTGTGACCTTTATATAATCAATCATGTTGAACATGTGATCATTAATTCCAATTTTAAGGCTAAATAATTGAATTTGCTTTGCTTTGATCTGTAAACTTGGATCATTATAAACATTGTCTATATCTGTAAGATGTAAATAACTTTAAGATAATTATACTGGTCAAGATAAACCATGTTATGCTGTCATAACCAACAATCCCTAAATCTCAGTGGCTTTAAATGACAAAGGTTCCTTTTCACATTCATATTACATGTTCATTACAGGTCAGTAGGCAGCTCTGCACCATTGAGTGTTCTGACTCAATGACCAGGTTTCAATTCAGAAATGTTGTTGGCCACCAAGGCAGCGGAGAGGAAGAATAAAGAATCATGCATCAATCCTTAAATTTCAGGTAGAAATGACATATTTCACTTCCATTCACATTTTATTTGCTAAAATATGTCACATGACCATGCCCAATTTTAAAGAGCAGGAAAATATAATCTTAACCATGTGCCTGGACAGAAGAGAACTAGAAATATGTCTACTCTAGAAACTCATGGCAATTCCAGCTGTTAGGCAATTTCATAGTGAAAGAATTTCCAGGATCAAATAAGTTAGGGAAACATTGAATTAAACAAAGTTAGAGAAATTTTCTAACTATAAGACTTCTCTGAGCCCTTTCTATATTAACATGCATTATTAATCTCAAAGAGACTATTAACATAGGGTCCTTTCTTTATCTTCATTTTCCAAGACCATCTGCAAAGACTCATATCTTGAAGAAATAGTACCCTAAGGCTCTACTTTATTAGAGCTTTTTATGGAAAGATGATAGGAAGAAAAAAGGAAAGGAAAGAATGAAGAAAGGAAGGAAAGAAAAAGACTCCAGAAGTACAAATTTATTGCTAGTTTTGAAATTGAGAGTTGTACAGAAAAACCATCCACCGTAGCTAATCTCAACCAAAAAATAACATTTTCTATTCCCTTGCTCATGACATTGTTAATTTATTGAGTATTTATTAAGCATCATATACTATGATAGGTGCTATACTTATGTTAATTCATTCCATCTTCATAATAACATTATAAAACACAGATTATTATCTCTTCACAGATGGACAATCTAAAACTCAGAGAAAACAATCATATATTGTATCCCCCCAAATTCATATGGTGAAATCCTAACTCCCAAGGTGATGAAATTAGGTGGTGGGATTTGGGGAAGGTGAATACTTCATGAGAGCAGAACCCTCATAAATGGGACCAGTGCCCTTATAAGAGACCCCAGAGAGTCTTGCCCCTTCTACCATGTGAGGACACAGTGAGAAGTTGACAGTTTGCAACTCTGAAGAGGGTTCTCACCAGAAACTTCCCATGCTGGCACCTTCATCTTGGACTTGCCAGAATTCGGGATGGTGAGAAATGTCTTGTTATAAGCTACTCAGTCTCTTGTATTTTGTTATAGCAGCCCAAATGGACTAAGACACATATAAAAAGCCACACAGACACTGAGTTACAAATGACATGAATAAGAAATGTCACCTTCCAAACAAAAAGGATGAAGTGCTCCAGTGACAGGTGCAAGCAGCAAGCTAGCTGGTCCGAAGATGAAAGATTTGTTTTCATTTTGATTGTGCTCTCTGGTTGGACCTTGAGGTATGCTGAAAGAGTGATGTTTGGGGACCTGAATGGAGAGCCTTAAATGCCAGATCATCTGGATTGTCTTCTGTAGGCAATGGCAAGCCACTGAAGGTTTCTGAGGTGGGAGTAACATAATCAGACAATTGAAGCAAGACTTAGAATTCCAAGTTCAGAAGAGCTCTTGAGCAATTCAATTCAACCCTCTCAATTTATAAATGCAGAAAATAAAGCTCCCAATTCCAAAGCTCCACATCTAGGCCTTTCATCATTGTCATTAGCTTTTTCATTTGGGTAACTTACCTAGCTGATTAGCTTGCCTCCATTTGGTCATAGGGTGAGCTCAAGTCTTGCATCTGCATCCCAAATTAAGATTAACCCTGATGAGGTATTAAGAGCTGGCAGAAGAGGGGATTATTTTGAGCCTAGGGAAATCAAGTGGTGGTGATAGCAGGATTCATACCACAGTCCATCTGACATCTAGGGTAGGGATTGTCCCTTTGCTGCATATTTTTCTCTTGAGTTGTGCAGAAGCTCAGTCCATAGCCACTGACCATATCTTTTCTGCAGTGCTGTGTTAAAACTGGCATTTGTCAAGATAGGCTATATAAGTCTCCAAAGAAGGGAAGAAATTTGACAATACATGGCTGAATAGTTGCTGATGCTGTGGATGTGCTAGGCATGGTGATGCAGATGTCCCTCTGCAGTTGATCAAAGACTGATTTTGACCCATCAAAAGATGGAGTAGTTGTTTCTGGTGACAAAACCATTCCTGATTCTTTGGTCCCTTTCTTAGCAAATGGCCCCCCCCCCCACACACACACCTTCTTGTTGTGCAAGCCAGAAATCTAGGTACCATTTTTGATGGCTGTCTGTTGCCCCTGATACTCAATCAATACCAAACCATCCTATCTTTTGAATACACATTTGCCCTATCCTTCCTCTCTGCCATGGCCTCAAGTTTAGGCAACTATCATATCTCATCAAAATTACTGCAACAGCCTTTCTCTGTTTCTCCTGCCTCAAGTCTTGCCTCCCTTAATCCATTCTTCATATTACAGCCAGAGTGATGGAGAAAAGATTCTTTTAAACAATTTTTTGTCATTTTTCAGAGTCAGAGAATATATTATTTTGTTTTCCAGCTTCCCTATAGAAGAACAGTCATTTCGCAATCAAGAAATCAATAGTCAAGAAGTATTGGTGATGTGATCTTTGCCACAGATGGTAGTGATTTTTTTCCAACCAGGGATCACAAAAATTCCACATAATTTAAACAATTATTTGTTCAACTTGCTAAAAACTGAGTCAACAGCTCTTTAAGATCTCAAACTCCAGCATTCTCAGTTTAGGTAAGAGCTTTTTAAGAACTAGTGTTTTTGGAGGTTTTCCTAAAAGAGAAATTTCTTTATTTAGTTATTTGAGATTATGGATTCAGCTTACTAGTATCATAGAAATATGTGTTGAGAAAGGTATACCCAAGTTATAGGTGAAGAATGACCAGGAAGATTCCAGTTTAGAGATGTTCAGAATTCTGAAGAGAAGTTATCTTTCTAGTCTATGCTGATGGTGAGGGATGAAGTGACCAACAAATATTGACTGTTTTTTGCATCAAACTGCAAATACATTATCTCATTAGCTCTATGACATAGTTATGATCATCAGCACAATTTTACAAAGAAGGATGCTTAAGTAGTTTGCTTCAGATCCTAGATCAGGTAAGTGGGGAGCCAGGATTCAAACCCAGGACTCAAGAACCTGCATTCTTAGGGGTTATTTCTCATGGCTTTGACATAGATGTTTGCTTTTAATACTCACAAAACCCTTCTGCAATGAGTTTTCCCATTCTAGAGATATGGTTATGGAGATTTGAAGAGTTTAAAACTTGCCCTATGTCACTCAGTAAGTGGCAAGGCTGAAATTGAAACTTATCCGTGGCTACTTCCATGACTTTTCCATGATGCCTTCCAAGAGAGCATCTGTTCCTCTCACAGATGCAGCTAATGGTAAGTGATGCTGCTCAGGAGTGACGGAATAACTGACAATAATCATAAAACCATATTCCAAAACTTTACCATGCAAACTATGTGCTTAGCAAATATCGTTAAAAGGAGGTTCTGACCAATAAAATGTCAGGAAAGTTAGTATAAATTGGCCGAGAGAGTGAAGTTAACTCCAAAACTTGATTTGGCAATATTCACCTTAGCAGATTTTCTCATTCAATCCTCAGCAAGATGAAGGGCTTCCTTTTCACTCTGTTTCTACTGTCTGTCCTATCTGCCATGGTGGAAACGAGGAGCAAGGGGTCTGTGCGGCTCTGCGGGCCAGACTACGTAAGAACGGTCGTGTACATCTGCGCTAGCTCCAGGTGGAGAAGGCACCTGGAGGGGATCCCTCAAGTTCAGCAAGGTAATGTTAACGCCTTTATTTTTCTTTCACATGTTTCTTTTATTTTTTTTTTCAAGCCGTTTTTTTTTAAAAACAATTATTTTAGTAACTTACTCTAAGAGCCATTTCTATGTCATTTTGGGAGATTAATTAACAAAATAGACTGAATTTAGCTTGGGAAAGAGGTGAGCATGCTACCTACTCTTCAAAAAATAAGTACTTCTTTCTTTAGTCTCCTGCTGGAAATGATTTGATTGCATAACTGCTCCAATGCGCTCGGCACCTAAGGCAGGTACTGTGGAGGCGAGGAGAAGAATGTGATGTCAAGGGGCATGTTGGAGTAGCAAGATTTTTACACACAGATGATTATAGAATATGATAAATTGGAAATCAGGCAGGTGTTAGATAAGGATGCAAGGGAAGGGTCTGGCTTTTATTGAGCACTTATTAAGTGCCAGAAGTTTCATGTGCCACATTTCATTGAGGTCTCCGATAAGGCTCCGGGGAAGTAAGCAAAATTACCACCGAAGGAGAAAACTGTTCACCCAGCTGGCAAGCAGCATGGCTAGGAAGCAAATCAGGTCTCTCGGGCTTCAAGAGCCAAGGTCTTTCTTATTCTCTACTGAGTCTTAGGTGGGAAAGAAGGCGATGGGCTGTTGTCATAAATGACAGCATTATGGAGGCGGTGGTAACTGACAGAGGCCCTGAAGGACATGCAGGATTTGGGGAATTATGAGGGATGGGGATGAAACAGAGTGGGAATTCTAGCAGTAGGAATTGTCTGATTCAAATTTTGAAGGTGGAAATAAACTGAATGTGTTTCCGAAATAGTGAAGTGACTGACTTCTCTGCATTTTTTAATTTTCTGATTCAAATAGCTCAGAAGTTTTACTGGAATTCTTCCTGCTAATCTTATATTATTATTTAAAATACTCTTTTTTATTATTTTGTTTTATTTTTTAAATGACAAAAATTGTATATATAGTTATTGTATACAATATATTATTTTGAACTATGTATACATTGTGGAATAGTTAAATCAAGTTAACTAACATAGGCATTACCTCACATACTTATCATTATTTTTATAATGAGAACACTTAAAATCCACTCTTTTAGCAATTTTCAAGAATACATGCATTGTTAGTAACTACAGTCACCATGTTGTACAATAAATAAATCTCTTGAGCTTATTCCTCCTGTCTTACTGAAATTTTGTACCCTTGACCACGCTTGACCTCCCCAACCACCCTGCCCCCAGCCCCCAGCCCCTGGTGACCTCACTCTCCTCTCTACTTTTTTTAATTCGACTTTTTTAGATTCCATATATAAGTGAGATTATGTGATATTCGTCTTTCTGTGCCTTGCTTAAGATTCTGTTTTAATAATTGGTTATATTGCCCATGTTTTATAATAAAAAGTTAAAAAATAAAAATGTGATTGTATAAGTATTGCAACCACAAATGTTGTTAAAGTTTCAATTTAATTTAAAATGACATTTAACATTTTGGAAAATGACTCACAGTGTTCATACTGGGGTGGGCTAATGTCCTGAAAAATCATGAATTTACTATTAACACTTTAATGTTCAAGCTCATATTACTAGTTGTTAACAAAAATAATAAGGGTTTTTTAATCTTAAGAGCTTTAAGAGTAATTTACCAGGATTTACATCAAACTCTGGAATAGCAAACTAAAATGCACTAGAAAAAAATGCATTTGGAATATCTCTGAAACACATGGGACAGTGGAATGGATGTCTGTATAAAGGCTATCTCCTTTTGATACCAAAGAAATCATAACACTGTTTATTACATCTTTCCAGGTTTTCAGAGTATTTTCCCATACATTATTTATCTGATCACTTACTAGTTTTTTTTTTTTTTTGAGACAGAGTCTCACTTTGTTGCCCAGGCTAGAGTGAGTGCCGTGGCGTCAGCCTAGCTCACAGCAACCTCAAACTCCTGGGCTCGAGCGATCCTTCTGCCTCAGCCTCCCGAGTAGCTGGGACTACAGGCATGCGCCACCATGCCCGGCTAATTTTTTATATATATCAGTTGGCCAATTAATTTCTTTCTATTTATAGTAGAGACGGGGTCTCGCTCTTGCTCAGGCTGGTTTTGAACTCCTGACCTTGAGCAATCCAGCCGCCTCGGCCTCCCAAGAGCTAGGATTACAGGCGTGAGCCACCGCGCCCGGCCTGATCACTTACTAGTTTTACCAACCAGCATTCATTCACCTAATTTTTCTTGGTGCTTGCTAGTGTGCTAAGGCACTGAGAAGTAAGTTGGAACCAAATTGAAGGAAAGAAGCTTATATGTGAACTTTGGGGGCAACACTAAGATAAAAACTGTGGGGCTCATTTTTGATTTTCAGACATACAGGTTTAAATCTCTACTTCCTTGCTGATCAGCTTTGCAGGGCATACACAGGGTTGGTTTTTGTGTGTGTGCTTCTTGTTTATAGCACGTAACTAATAACTTTGGAAGTTGCTGGTCATGGAGCAGAGGAAGCCAGTAAGAGAAATCAAGTCCTGATTTGGCTCTCGCTAGCAGAGTGACACTGGCTCACTCAAGCTCTGCACTAAAGTTTCCTCCTCTGTAATATGTGGAGAGTGGAGATATTTGAGCTCTCCCCAAAATGTCTAATTTCTCTGCAACCAGACCAACATTTATAAAAAAATTACATGTAGGATTCAATTTCATTTTAGAAATCCAATTCATTTTCCTGAGTGTAGAATGCTGCCATCTTTGTAGGAGCTCTCTAAGGATGTATTATTTTTTCTCTTCCGTACAGCTGAGAGAGGAAACGTCTTCCAGCTCCCAAATAAACATGAGGTTTCCGAGGAAAACACAGCACGAAACCATCCGTGGGTGGATGCCTCAGGGGAGGACCGTCTTCAGGGTGGACAGATCCCCACTGAAGGGCTTTGGGAGTCAAAGATCCGAAAGTCAGTGATGTCAAGACAAGATTTACAGACTCTGTGCTGCACTGAAGGCTGTTCCATGACCGATCTGAGTGCTCTTTGTTAAGGCAAGAGCAAATAGCCAATGGGCGGCAGAGCTTTTGCACATGTTTAATCACAGTGCTTACTGCCTGGTATAACACTTGTATTGTGTTATTAAAAGGATGGCTTTTGGGTAGGCAATCCTTCTTTTCTAAAAGGTGTGGATGAATGGTTAAAACCATTCAAAATAGACAGTGAAGTCTATTTTTTCCCTTTGCCAAGGTGAATGCTCTGTTCTTTTCAAATTTTAACTAATTCTTTGAAATTTCAAATGCTGTGCAAAATTGCAATAAAAACACTATAAATCAAGCTGTGATATTTTTTTTTCTTTTAAAAAAATTATAAATAAGTTTTAACAGTAAACAGAAAATGCTGGTGGAGGAAAACCTAAAAAATATGCATTAACAGGAAATAGAAATCAGCTGTTATCTCATCATCCAGAAATGACCATTCTCAACTAATAATACTGTGTATTATTACTGAAAATGTAAACATTGATTCATGGTCAAATATAAGAATCTAAACAAAGTGCTTTTCTCAGAGGAACTTAGAGTGCTCAATAAATGTTTCCTAATATCATGCAGCCCTTCAACATTCCATTTAAGAATAGCTTGGGGGCATATATGTTTCAATCAGGTCCATAAACGGCTGGGAGTATGTTTACCCAGGGTATGTGTAAGTAATAAGCTTCTTCCTGTAATCTGGGCCACCTTGGTTTTGCCTCTTCATTGCTTTCTATTATCATTCTGTGGAAGATGAGAAACAAAGATCCAGATAGCCAAGTCATTGTGATGCAATTGGATTTCTTCCCAGATAAAAAGACAAAAGACACAGTAAGGGTATCATAAAACTGTTTTCATTTCTAACTCTGACAGCCAACTCCCCCAGTGGGTTGTGACAATAGTTAGAATCTCTTTTCATCCAAGTGCTGCTCTTATTAATAACTATAGTCTGTATTTAAAATCCATCTATTATATATTGGGCACTTAAATTTTGTCAAGGCATTGTGCATGGCATTTAGACATTCTCCTTCACACATTTGTTGCACAAAACCTATGAGAGTGGAAAGGTACTTACTTTATCGCCATTTTGCAGATTAGGAAACCAAGGCTTAGTAGAATTAAGTAAATGTGTCCTAAGTCACACAGCTAAGTGGATGGTGTTACTGAATCCAAATTTAGGCTGTTTAGTATGAATCAAGGCAGTCCCACCAAACTGTACTGGTAGTCAAAGTATTCTTTACTTCCAGGTACTCCCAGTTAAAAAAAAATGTCTTCACTGAAGAATGTCCTTGATGAAGCAGTAAAATTCATTTTATTAAGTCTCTATCCTTGAGTACACGTCTTACCAATGTTCTGGGGATGTAATGGGAAGACTGCATGAAGCCTTTGCATCCTATTGAAGTATGATGGTTGTCCCAAGGAGAAGCACTTGTGTGATTAAATTGTGAGCTTAAAACTAGTTGCTTATTCCATGAAGACTGAAAAACTGTAGTTATTCAGATTTTTGATATTTGAAATTAAATGAAATAAGATTTGAAAATGAGGTAAAATTGTCACTTCCAGGAAAACAACTCACAGTATTTATTGCTGATGATAAAATATAACCTTTCAAGCAATTTTGGGAAACTTTTATCCCCTATTATGAGCATCAGTGAAGATATTAATGAATTTGATTTTTTTATATTATTCAAGGAACTGTATCAACTTTTGGAAGATCTGCATAACTCAGTAAACCAATGTTTTACAAATGATCAATGATTTATATTACAAAATTATGAATGGGTGAAAAAAATCCACTCAAATCACAAAATAAAAACTTTAACAATACAAAATGTTCATTGATATGGTTTCATATTCTATATTGCAACTAACCTTTAATAAAGAACCACTTGTCTAGTTTTGAGATAGTACCAAAAAAAAAAAGAATATCAAAACTATCTGAAAATATTATTAAAATAATCTTTCCATTATCCAAACTATGTTTAAGTAATAAACTTCCAACTAAATCTCCATATGATTTCCAACTAAATATCTGTATGATGCTGGATCTAAATGTCAACTAATATAACACACAGCAACATATTGAATGCTGAAGCCAGTATAAGAATCAAACCATATTTTATTAAGCCAGCCATTAGAGAGTTATAAAAATATAAAACAGTACCACTCTTCTTACCAAATGTTTTTTTTTTTTTTTTTTTTTTTTGAGACAGAGTCTCGCTTTGTTGTCCAGGCTAGAGTGAGTGCCGTGGCGTCAGCCTAGCTCACAGCAACCTCAAACTCCTGGGCTCGAGTGATCCTTCTGCCTCAGCCTCCCGAGTAGCTGGGACTACAGGCATGCGCCACCATGCCCGGCTAATTTTTTATATATATATCAGTTGGCCAATTAATTTCTTTCTATTTATAGTAGAGATGGGGTCTCGCTCTTGCTCAGGCTGGTTTTGAACTCCTGACCTTGAGCAATCCGCCCGCCTCGGCCTCCCAAGAGCTAGGATTACAGGCGTGAGCCACAGCGCCCGGCCCCAAATGTTTTTTTGTTTTGTGAAAATATAGAGTTTTCATAAATTATTTGTGTTAACATGTGGTAGGTGTATTATTTTTAAATGAGTTAATAAGTTTAAATTTCTCAGTTTTAAATTCCAGTGCAAAAAATATTAGTAGATTTAACACATATAAACAAAAGCTCTTCAAAGTTCTTAATAATTTTTAAGAGTGCAGTCATTATTATTCACTATATACTTCTTTATATTTATTAGTTATTATAAATATATGATTTAAGTACATAGCAAAACAAGGAAGAAAAGTGGGGCCCAATCTCTTTACTTAAATCCTATAGCTAACTTTTTGGGGAAAAAAAAGATAATTTATAAGGTTAAGAAATGCAAATAGTCCAGAGAAATGTGTAAAATAAAACAAAAGTCTCACCCTCCTTTGTTTGGTTATAAATAACATAACCTTTATTAAGAGTTTCTTATAATTTCTGTCTGACATAAAAATCATGTTTATACTGAATTTATGTAGGATAGCTGCAAGTACAGCTACATGAGCTTGATATATATATATATATATATATTTATCATCTATCATATCTAATATCCCGCTATTTCTATTTCTCTATAGCATAGACTTTTAACTGTCCCCTAAACATTTCTTCTCCTTTTCCTCTTGGGCACACAGCTATACATTTCTCAGCCTACTTTGTGGTTGTGTGTGCTCATGTGATCGAGTTCCAGTCAATTAAATATGAGTAGTAGTAATATGTGCCACTTCCAAGATTAGTCCATAAAATGTCCCACCCTTTCCCTTAACTTAGCTAGCATAACCTTTGAGCTGTTTTATGTTTTAGTCTATTTTTAAAGCAGCTAACCTACTCTGATACAAAATCTACTGAATCTGTTATCCCATTTTACACAAAAAGGAATTATACATACTGTCTTACTTCTTTTTGTTTTAAGATATCTTAATATATTTTAATAACATCTCAGTTTGTGTATTTTATTTCTTTTTCTTTTTCTTTTATTAGAAACAGTTCTTGTTCTGTCACCCAGGCTAGTATGTAGTGGTGCAATCATACTTCATTGTAACCTTGAACTCCTGGGCTCAAGTGATCCTCCTCCCTCAGCCTCATGAGTAGTTGGGACACCTGCCTAGGCGTGGGCCACTCTGCCCAGCTAATTTTTTTTTTTTTTTTTTTTTTTTATAGAGACAAGGTCTCATTATGTTGTCCAGGCTGGTCTTGAACTCCTGGCCTCAAGCAGGACATCCTCCCTCCTCGGCCTAACAAAGTGCTGGGATTGCAGCATGAGTCACCATACCTAGCCTATGTATTTTAAATTTAAATACATATAAATAGATTATCATGTTTTATTTGTTTGTTTGTTTTATTTCAGGATATTATAGTAGTACAAACACTTTGGTTACATGTTATGACTTTGCTTCACCCAAGCCATGATTTGAGGCATGCCCTTTCCCCTCTACAACACTCACCACGTCCATTTGTTGTGAGTTTACCCACCGCCCAACCCCCAATCCCAAATGAATATTACTACTGGGTGAGCACCTTGGTGTTGATCACTTAGTGCCAATTTTATGGCAAGTATATGTGGTGCCTAATTCTTCCATTCTTGTGATACCTCACTTCGGAGGATGGTCTCAAGCTCTATCCAGGAAAATATAAGAGGTGCTAGATCAACATCGTTTTTTGTAATTGAGTAATATTCCATTGTATACATATACCATATTTTATTAATCCAATCATGGATTGACTTAGGCACTTGGTTGTTTCCACATCCTTGCAATAGTGAATTGTGCTGCCATCAACATTCGACTGCAGATGTCTTTATTATGGAATGTCTTTTGTTGCTCTGGGTAGATGCCTAATAGCACTATTGCTAGATCAAATGGCATTTATATTTTTAGCTCTTTAAGGTATCTCCAAATTCTTTCCCTCAGAGGTTGTACTAATTTGCAGTCCCACCAGCAATGTAAGAGTACCATCTTAAAAGTTTGATTAATTCACATTTCTACTAGAAATACATGAAAGTGTCTATTTCTCTATATCTTCATCTGTGCATGATGTTACTCTTGCAAAAATTTATAATTCCTATAGGTGAAATATTACATATTTTTGTTTTGATTTGCATTAGCTTCACTATGGAGTGATCATCTTTTATATTTATTGGCCACTTGTATTTCCTCCTCTGTAAATTAGACTGTCCATATCCTCTGTCCATTTTTCTATTTAATTATAATAATTTTATCAATTTTCCAAGCCTTTTTATATTAAGAATAGTAACTTTTTTGACTGTCATCTAAGTAAAATATTCCCCCTCCCCCAGTTTTTTATGTCTTGACTTCATTCAGGATGCTTTTTGACTTACAATGTCTGTCTTTTTTATGGTTTCTGGATTTCCCTGTTTGCTTAGGAAGATCTCCATTACTGCAAAGTTGTATAAGAATTCTCCTAAGTTTTATTCTAATAATTTTACTGTTTATCCTTTGCATTTAAATCTAATCCATCTTGTGGAGAAAACAGAACACTCTTATACACTGTTGGTGAGAATATAAATTAGTATAGCCACTTCAAAAAACAGTATGGAGATTTCTCAAAAAAACTAAAAATAGAACCACCATATGATCCAGCAATCTTATTACTGCTTATTTATCCAGAAAAAGACAAATCAATATATCAAAGAGATACCTGCACTCCTATGTTTATTGCAGCACTATTCACAATAGCAAAGATACAGATTCAGCCTAAGTCTATCAACAGACAAATGAATAAAGAAAATGTGAGGCTGGGCACCGTGGCTCACACCTGTAATCCTAGCACTCTGGGAGGCCGAGGTGGAAGGATCACTTGAGCTCAGGTGTTCAAGACCAGCCTGAGCAAGAGTAAGACCCCCATCTCTACTGAAAATATAAAAATAGGCCAGGTGTCATGGTATGCGCCTGTAGTTCCAGCTACTTGGGAGGCTGAGGCAGGAGGATCGCTTGAGCCCAGGAGTTTGAGGTTGCTGTGAGATAGATAGACTGACATCTATCTAGTTAATGTGGAGAATTGTAGTTTTTCTTATGTTGAAATTTCTCTGTATTCTCAGAATAAATCTATTTGATCATGGTGTAACATTCTTTTAATACTTAAAGGCCTGCATTTGTTAATATTTTATTTAGAATTTTTGAATATGTGTTCATATATAAAATTGATCCCTACATGTTTTGGCAATAAAAATTATTCCAGCTTTATAAAATGAAGGCATTATTGGTTCATTAACGATTTAGAAGAAACAAGCTGTAATGGTAACTTTAAAAAATTCACCGGAATTAATACATATATAACCAAGTGCTTGACTTTCTTTCTTTTTTTTTTTTTTTTTTGCACTTTTTAAAATTTCAGCATATTACAGGGGGTACAAATGCTTAGCTTACATATATTGCCTTTGCCCCACCCAAGTCAGGACTTTTTTTTTTTTTTTGCCAGGGTCTCATTCTGTTGCCTGAGCTAGAGTGCAGTGGCATCATCATAGCTCACTGCAATCACGAAATGCTGAGCTCAAGCAATCCTCCTGCCTCAGCCTCCTGAGTAGCTGGGACTATGGGTGTCCACCACCACACCTGGCTAATTTTTCTGTATTTTGTAGAGACAAGATTTGACTATGTTGCCCAGGTTGGTCTTGAACTCCTGGCTTCCAGTAATCTTGCCACTTCAGCCTCCCAAAGTACTGGGATTACAGGCTAGTGCATGACTTTTAAAAGGATTTTTACTTACTCGTACAAAAATGAATTGCTGTAATATTCCCAGTTATTAATAATGTATTCTCTTTTTTTTCTATATCATTGCATTTTATTTGCTAACATTTTGCTTAGTATTTTTGCATATTATTTTCATAAACAACATTTGGCTTTACTGTCATATTTAAGTGATTTTAATATCAGGGTTAAGCTAGCCCCATAAAATGAGTTAGAAAATGTTCCTTCTTCCTCTAATCTCTGAATGTTTAAGATTGGTATTACTTCTTTAATGAATGGGCCCTTAAATGGCTTTTACTTGTGCCTGTGAACTGGTATGCAAGAAATTTAACTACTCTTTAAAAAAATTCTTATAGCTATCCTGCCAAAGTAAAGTTCTTGTTATAAAATATATTGCCTTACAGGAAAACATAAAGATAGTGTATTTTTATAATTAACAACATACAGTTTATTTTTCTTTAGTTTCAAAATGAGATGAGTCTCTAAGCTTGATATTTCTTATATGAATTTTAAAACATATTTCCCAGCACCCCCTAAACAAATCAAGCTGGGTATTCTGTCCTTCTGATGGATGATTCATCTTCATCGTAGTCATCTTTCCTTTTTTGATCACAAATGTAAAATGAAGCACAGTGCTTCCCATACTGGTTATACTGGTTCCTTGCCTAGCTAGGTAGGGAAATAGCCTGGTGGGTAGGTGGAAAACCACAAGTTTCAAGTTATATCCTGCATTAAAATAAAAAAAAGTTGTGTACTGGAGTTAAATTGGCCAGGAAAGAAATTGAGAAGAGATTATGTGGAGACTTCAATCAGATATGTAACATATATAAGTCTCAATAAACCCTCTAAGTAGTACATGTTCATACATACAAAGAAGAGAACATATAAATTCAAATGGGCACTAAGATTGGAAAAACTAAGTTTCAGTAAGCAAAAGCATTACAAGGAACCAAGAAAGTACTAAAGTGGGAGCTAAGACCTCTCAATGGAGTAAATATAAAAACTGGTAGAGATTAGCAAATAGTGCCTAAATTTAGCGGTGAATAGTATTGTATAGTAAATGTGGACTTGAGAAATTATTTGTTATTCAAAGAATGCAGTAGTAGATGATTAAAGGTTGAAAAAGAAAAAAATCCTAGTAGTCTAGGGTATTACATTATGGTGGTGAGCAGAAATTGCAAAAACATTTGCTCAATTTTTCAGGAAAGGTTCTACAGGAAAAAATTGGAAGCTGAGAGTAAGTATCTACCAGGGTCAGATATTTTATACACAATTTCCCTTTCAGTCTTCGTGACAAGAACATAAGCAGTAATCATAACTGTTGATATAATCATTTTTTACCTTTGGGGAAACTGAGGCTCAAAACACTAGGCACCTTGCCAAAGTCATGCAGCTAGTAAGAGTCAGAAGCTAAAGGAGATGCTTGTCAAACCTCTGCTTTAAAAACAAACCAAAAAAAAAGGAAAAAACCAAACAAGCACAAACACGAACAAACCCAAACCACCTATAATGCATTGCTGTTCAAAAGAAATGAGTTTGGAAGAAGACTGAGGTGGAATGCAGCTGGAGAAATGAATGTTTTGCAGATTTGGCCTGGGGGACCACTTTTACTGTTTGTAAAAGTAACACATTGGTGGGGATGAGAACCAGATTGCAGAAGGGGAAAGCAGGAGAACAAGAGAGTAGTAGGGAAAATTGGAGGTACAGGGTGTAGACCACTCCCTTATAAGAATTTTGGGAGCAAAAAGGCATAGTAGATTATCAATAACTATTTAATGTTGTGTTTTCTTATGTAATTTTGGGTACTATCTAGAAAGACAGGTCAAATGATGGTCCCAACAAAGAAAGTACTTATTCTCTAAGAGGGCTAGATTTAAAAGCTTTAATTTCTCAACAGTTGTTTTTTAAATGACTCCCATACACTGGATAATTCCCAAGAGTTTTAAAAAATAAATGAGCTGACCTAGCACTTAATTTCCCAACATATAATCTGTTGGACTCTGTTGTAAGAACTTACTATTCTATGTTTTCTTTAATGCAGTTCTGTTAGCAATGACAGCAGACAACAGGACCAGCGCCTTCAAGACATTAATGTAATTTTGAGAGAAACTTTTTTACACTTCTTACAATGTCTGACCACAGAAACTGACCATATAGGAATCTTTTTTTTAAATAATCAAATAAGGAGGACATGATTTAATTTTGGTTTGGGGTAAAAAAAATTCCCTATTGATTTTGAGGGGTGGTTTCTGGCTGATGTTCCCAGAGGTAACTGAATTTTCAGTAATTTGCTATTAGTACTGACTACATTTGCTGAAGATTCTGCTAATGAATATTTTATAAAGCAGGAGGAAGATGTTAGGTCTCGGTCTGGATGACTGCCAAGTCTAAATCTCTCACCTTAGTGTTGTAGTGTTGTAGCTCACCTCCAGTTCCACTCTCTCAGCTGCCTGAGGCCATTTCCATCTCAATGTCATTAACTTACATTCAACAAGTGCGAATCAAACTTAATATTTTACTCCTCAAACTCTTCCTGCTGACTTCCTTATTTTTTGCTAACAGGACCATTGATCTAGTGATTCATACTCAAACTTTCAACTGCAATCCCAGAAGCTACTATATATTGAGGGCTTCCTATCAGGGATTATGTTATTAAGAGTTTAGCACACATATGTATTAATATTTAATGATTCCTCACCAAAATCCTGTAAGGTAGATTTCAGCATTCTCATTAATTCTCAATGGGAAAGCTGCAGCTTGGTAAGATTAATAACTTATTTAATGTCCTTTAACTAGTTCCTGGAATAGCAGGACTCAGACCTAAGTCTGCAAACATCTAGAATGTGAAACTTTCAACTGCTTTGTTACACTGCCTTAGCATCACTTCTGACTCTCTTTCTTTTTTGCCTAACCATGTAGACCTTGTTCCTATAATGTCCATACAACCGTCCTACCCTTTCCATTTTCAGTGGCATTGTCTAGTTCAGCCTTAGGCAAGCCTCTCACCTCGCCTAAGTGGTCTTCCTGCTCTTTTCCAATATATTTGGAAAGTCACTTCATTTACACTATTAGCCTAATGAAAAACTTTCCTTGAACACCCATTGTCTGAGTGTCATTTGTCTTACCCAGACATTCATCATGTTTCCTTCCAATCTTAGTTCTAACCACTTGTCTTCATGAACACCGTGTTTTATCCAATCTAAACTTCTTCCTGTGACTCCTCTGTTGAAATTCTATTTATCTCCTTCATAGTCTGAATTCAATTGCTGCTTCCCTTTATGAAGCCTACCACGATCCCCTTACTAAGATAAAGATATTCTGGACTTCTTTTATGATAACACATTCTAGCCTGCACTGTGGTCACCTGTGTACTTCTCTCATCATCCCCACAGGATCCCAGCTCCTTGAGGGTTGAGCTGTGTATTGCTGTTATCTGTGCAGCTAAGAGTTATGCAGCACAGTGCAGTGCTCATGATTCTTGCTTTAAAAGTAAAAATGGGCTGGGCACGGTGGCTCACGCCTGTAATCCTAGCTCTCTGGGAGGCCGAGGCGGGCGGATTGCTCAAGGTCAGGAGTTCGAAACCAGCCTGAGGAAAAGTGAGACCCCATCTCTACTATAAATAGAAAGAAAATTCCCCAGGTCTACAGTTCGGTTAAAAAATAAAAAAAAAAAAAGAAAAGAAATTAATTGGCCAACTAATATATATAGAAAAAATTAGCCGGGCATGGTGGCGCATGCCTGTAGTCCTAGCTACTCGGGAGACTGAGGCAGCAGGATCGCTTGAGCCCAGGAGTTTGAGGTTGCTGTGAGCTAGGCTGATGCCACGGCACTCACTCTAGCCTGGGCAACAAAGCGAGACTCTGTCTCAAAAAAAAAAAAAAAAAAAGTAAAAATGAATTAATTTTTTTTGTTAGATGCAGTCCATGTATTCAATATGTTTTCCATCTAGTAAGGAAAACAACACTAACATTCAAAAATTAGCTGGAGAACGATCAGGAGCTCAGCTATGAGAGTGATAAGAGAAGACAGCACACAGATAAGAAGCAATGGATGGAGGATTGAGATAAAAGGTGAGAGCCGAGTCTGACACTGTAAAGTGGAGAAAATTGCATAAGTGAAAGTGGTGGGAGGTGTTCTGAGGTAGGGAAAGCTGGGGGAAGGCTCTGAGGTAGGCACGGTCATGGGCAGTCTGGGAAGAAGAATGGCTCTAGGAACACCTATGGAGAGGAAAAATACCAGGGAAGTTCAGGGTGTTTCAAAGTAAAATAATTCTTTCAAATTTGCTTTAAAAATTTCCTATGACAAGGCTCTGCGTGATAACTAGCATTCTCCCAAGTTGGGTGCAATTAGTGAGTTTTCACTGTATATTCCTGTATTGCTATATAATTGCTAGAATTCATCATTGACTATCTGAATTACAACACATGGCAATATGCTGGCAAAGTGCTTTCTTTTTTGATTTTTACTGCCATCATGTTTCAAAGTTTTGATTCCCAACACAGCCTAGGAAGATGGTAAGAAATTATCTCAGATATTAGAATTTAGAACTCTTTTAAAAAGCCATTTTACACAATAGAATTTTTATATACTAAAGAAATTTCTTCATTTGATTTATTCATGTAAAATTGTTATATGAGTGCCCCTGCTGTTGTTCCAAGAAAGGAGATGTTCACAAGTGTGTAATGAAAATATGAAGCTCATTATATACTATACTTATAATCCACATTCAAAACTGGCTGACGGAGACTGACTAATATTAGTTGTGATAAATTATTACACAGAAATATTCCCACTGAAGCACTAACAGGAAAAAAATCATGGAAATTGACAAATTCATTTTGAAAAGCCACTTTAAAAGCCAGAACGCACAGAGGAAAGAGATTTTAAATGTAGCCATTTTTTACTACATATCATTTTGGGGAAAAGTGAGATACCAAAAACATTTTAAAATTATAAAGCATTGACTGGTTTTCCATTTGTTAAACTCTTTTCTGATATGAATTACACATCATTTTTTCCTTAAGACGAAAGCATTGCTAATTTTCTCCATATGTGTACAATCTGTCTTTGACCTTTAACAAATGTCCTCTGGGCAGTTCACTTACTATCCAACAACAACGCCACAGCATCATTTTACACGCACACAAAGGTTTGAAAGCTCTATAAAAATAAATGATCCATGGTACAAGATACATTAACCAGCAGAATAATAAGCTAGTTCAGCCCTGTAAATTTTAGTGCCCATCTATTCAAAACCTCACTGGGTCACTTTAGTATTAAATTCATTGGAACAAAATGGTAAATACACATGTTTTATTTGTGTAAAAGTTTGTTAGCCTAGGAAAACCTATTTAAAAGCATATCAGGCAGTATATATTTAAAAGCACTGTCTCCTTCCAATACATGATTTTATGTGTTACAGACACATTTACTATTAAGCATCATGTATATTTAATATCACAACGTCTACTTCAGTGCCCTAAAAAGCCATTGTTCACTTTATAGGTTCCATTATTGAAGAACTAACATTCAGTTCTCCCACAATTTTGTAAAGTGCAGGCACCCACAAGAGCTTCTAGTTTTAGCTTGCGGCCCGCGGGACCAGGATAATTGTTATAAAGCCATTAATTCTACCTCAGCAGTTTCAACTGTCAGGTACATGTAACAATAATTGCACTTAATGAATGCTGCTCAATTTATTAAGTGCAAAATGAAAACCAGTATTCTTTCATATGCAGCGCTGAGGCATATTATTTATCATTTGTGTATTGTGTCTACCATGTTGAATACTCTACTATTATTGATTGGTCAGGGTTTATGGCCATATTTTTTTAAAACTTCTCTTCATTAAAAAAAATAATGCAGGAAATTCTAACTCTCTAATTAAAGAGTAATTAAAATAATTAGTACCAAAAGTAATATGAAATAAGAATCTACATCTACGCAAAACCAAGACTGAGTTCCAAAAGCAAGATTCTTTTTTATGCCATCCTCCCCTTCCCCAATCTTTACAAGAGTCTGAAAAAAGTTCAAAAGCTTCAGCTTGTTTGAAATATTAGTGTGTTTCTTTCTCAAAGTTGTTGGCAGTAAAACTTTTGTGTAGAGAGATACAGCCCATTTCATGATATTAAAAAGTAAGAACTAGATTTCTTATTTTCAGTCACTCAAGGTAAACTGCATAGACATTTGCAAGAGCAAAGAGAGAAGCATTTCTGAACACATAAGATGAAAAGGCATCACTTTTAGGGTCCCAGAGGCATCTGCTTGCAATAAGTATGCTCTGAGTGTTCAGTTGTCCAATGTGAACAATCACAATGAATTTATACCGTGGAATCACCAAGTCCTTGACCTGGGCTTTGATAACCTAGAAATTAAAAAAAAAAAAAAAAAAAAGGAGGATGAGTCCTCATTTAGCCAAATTGAAACTTAAAAAAGCTTAACTTTGGTTATAAATATAGGAGATTTAATTTAAGAAGAGAGCATGATGCACTGTATATACTTTCAGTAATTGTTGTAGAACCATAACTAGCATTTCCTTCAAGCACTGCCCCTATGAGACAGAACATTCAGGGGCAAAATGATTACAGCAGCAACAAATCTACATTCTCTAAGGTACATGGAAAAATCATAATCCAGGGCACAGAATTTAATGAATTATTAGATTCTTTGAAAATCTATGTTAAGATGGCTTCCCTTCAAAGAATATTGGCATTGGAGTTATACTGTCTTGTTTATGTCTAATTAAGGGACCATACATCTGGACTGTGTTGTATTACGACTAATCATGAATGTTTATTAAATAGTTTATTATATAATAAAAAAGAAAGTAGAGAAAAAACCTTGATGAAGGGCCAGCACTTTGGTTGATAAAAATAGAAATGTACTTAAAAACCACAATGCCTTTATTCGATGGCACTCAGAGAAGCAGCCTTGGTGGAGAGAAAAAAAATCATTAAAATGCTGTCTTTTGCAATAAATATTTTTACAAATGGGCCATTTTTATAGACTTGCTATAAAATACATGCAAATGATGTACTTGATTGTTTTAGACAAAGGCTTTTTACACACACACATACACACACAGAACATGACCTAATAAATATTTTCATAAAGTAAAAATATGCATTCTGTTTATACACATTAATTCCCTTCATCAAAGGTAAAGGGTGGGTCATGCTTTCAGCAAATATTCTAGCTATTTATTGTTAACACTTTGTGCAAATCACACATGTACCTCGGTAATCGTTTTAGTCATCTGTCTGCAGAGCTCTGGTTCATATTCTTCTTCTTGCAGATAGTTAGTTAACACATCTTTCAAAATGTGATTGACAGTGACCACAGGAAAATGTTTGGGAGGACCTGAAAATACACAAGGAATTTCTTTCTAAAAAGTAATCTCAAATCATATATCCCTAGCCCATAGGTTAATCAAAAGAGTATTGAAGCATGGAGAGACATTTAATCTTCTGGGTGGTCTCTGAGAAAACAATGGGTCCTAATTAGGTTTCCCATCAGGTTCTCCGGGAGTGGACAAGGAAACAATAGACTCATACTTTTCCTGGACGACCTAAAAAGTGTGTTCAATTCTGTTGGGGTTTGACATTAAAAGTCTCTTCCTTCCAGACCTCTCTGTTAGTGACTTACTTCAAAGTCTCAGCAGCTTTCTAACCGGCTCCCCAGCTCTTATATCTCCCCCTTCAATCTACCTGCTGGATCTTAAGTGACAGTCCCCTTCAAGAGGTCTACTCAAGCCAGGTCTGCTTCTCCCACCACCACAGCTGTCCATGTGCAGCCTCACGGGCTCCATCTGTCTTTATAAGATGCTTGTGTGTCTTTGCTCTTGCTCCTTTTTTCAAATGGCACACCATTCCCCATCTTGATCATCCAAGAAATAGCCACTCATGTTTCAAGTCCAGCTCAAATGTCTTCTTTGCCAGGTAGCCTTCCTCTTCCCCTTAGATAAAAACCGTCCCTCTCTTCTCCCTCCTCCCCATGCACTGGGTCCCCATCGCTAGCCTGGCTCCTAATCCACCTGATAATACTAAGGCATACCTGCATTTCTCTCCAGCGAAATGGTTAGCAACATTGGCTTTTATCCTCTTCAGGCTCTAATATTAACACAGTGTTAAAGGCATAAGAAAATTTAAATGTATGATTTCTGAATTTAAACACAATTTAAAGTTTTATAGATAATAATTGTTTTATAAATACAAATAATGGCTACTTTTTATTGAGCATTTTCTACATGTCAGGCACTATGATAAGCACTTCATATTTACTATCGTATATAATCTTCCAATAGCTCTCGGAATGTATCCCACTGTTATCTCCATTTTGCAGATGAGGAAACAGAGGTTTAAATACTCTGAGTGACCTGCCCAGCATCCCACGGTGGTAGAGGTGGAATACACACCCAGGCTTATCTGCCACTAGAGCTCATATCCCCAACCACATTTCATCCATGTTCACAGTGGAAGCTTCGGATGGATCTTCTTTATCCTGCACCCCAGGAATATCAGCTTTATCATCCCTCTGGTTATGTGCACACGTCATTGCACGACACGCACATGTGCCCGAGGGCTGGCATAGGGAGGCTCAATCATTTGTTCAATTGATAAAGATGAAGGAATGAGATCAAGAATTATATCCAATTCTCTTTTAATAGTCAGCAGTATCTATTAATAAGTGTCAATTCTTAATGACTGTGTCAATCAGGGCCAAAGGAAGCATGGCACACTCCACTTAGGACTATTCCAGGAGGGTCTGATGAAGGCACTCTGTAGGAAGGCCTGAGTGGGGTGGAGGAAGTCACAAGGGGTAGCGCAGTACCCCTCAGCTAGTGGCAGTGAGGGTATCACTCCTGCCCTCCTCCCCAGGATTGAGGAATCTAGGAAGGGAGCTCTAGGTCCCAGAAGAGTCACATGGAGAGGGCTCCTTTGAGAGCAGCTCATGTCCTTTGGCTGAGGGATGTAACCAGTCTGAGTTGAACCCACAGGCAGGGAGCCAGGGAAGTAAATGCCCTGAGCTCACACTCCTCCTTTTCGCTGCCTTCCTGCTGAAGTTTCCCATTGGCTGAACTTAACCAGAAGGTTATAGCTGTGACTGTAGTGCTGTTAGGTCAGCCAGCTGACTGTCAATAAACAGTATTTTTATTTTGCTGAAAATATAAGAATTGTTCAATTTAAGTCAGAGTGAGGAACGAATCTGGACATGTAAAGTGGAGACATTGATACAATGACTCTAATATTTAACCACAATATTTATTCAGTAGGAATCTCTGTTCTATAGGCCAGAGATAAGCTGTTAAAAACCTGTGAATGGCTGATCCTGTTTGCTCCTGCTTCTTGGGGTCAGAAATAGGGTACTAGATACAGGTACCCTAAAAGCAAGCTCCTGGGTACTTACAGCCCTCTGTGAAATGCTTTCATGCTGCTGTGAAATGACACTAGGCTTGGAGGTGATTTCTCCTTTTATGTTTAAGAAACTTAAAAAGGATATCATCAGCCTAGACTAAATTAAGTAAATTATTTCCTTTAGTTCTGCGGTCCCCAATCCCAGGGCCGTGGACCAGTACCTGTCCATGGGCTGTTAGGAATCAGGCCACACAGTAGGAGGTGAGCAGGGAGCAAGCCAGCAAAGCTTCACCTGTATTTACAGCTGCTCCCCATCACTCGCATCACTGCCTGAGCTCCGCCTCCTGTCAGACCAGCTGTGGCATCAGATTCTCACAGGAGCTCGAACCCTACTGTAAACTGCACATTGGAGGGATCTAGGTTGTGTGCTCCTTATGAGAATCTAAAGCCTGATGATCTGAGATGGAACAGAGGCGGTGATGCTAGCACTGGGGAGTGGCTGCAAATACAGACTATCATTAACAGAGAGGTTTGACTGCACAATAAACGTAATATGCTTGAATCATCCTGAAACCATCCCCCCAATCCCGGTCCATGGAAACATTGTCTTCCATGAAACTAGTCCCTGGTGCCAAAAAGGTTGGGGACCACTGCTTTAGATCAATACCCTTCCCCTTTTCACTCCCTCCTACAAGCATGTGTACCTTACTTGTTCTACATCACTCACATGGAACTTAATTCTGTCTTGCATTATAGCTACTTAACAAGTACTGCTCCATTCAGAAAATAGAGAATTCCTTTAGTGTAGATATTTCACCTGCCTAGGATTTTTCCCTTTCACTTGGGACCAACATCTCCCTTTCTAGGGACTGATCCTTTTCCTACTCTAACCATGTAGTTTTGGAGGATCTACCATTACCTCCTATGAGCCCAAGTCCAGGGCCTGGCTGGCTGACCCAGGGGTGACACTGCCCCAGGCCAAGCCACTTAGAGTCCTTTCTTGGAATTTTTATCTTACACTGGAACTAGGAAAAAAGAGCCTCTTTCTGTTGGCAAAAGTTATGATATGTGACCCTTAGGAACTGCTGGAGGCCGTGTTTTTTATGGTGGGAAGGAGGCCAGGCCACAGTGAGAGAAGGAAGCCCACACACAGGTTAGTGGGAGAAAGAGAGAATCTCAGTGGCACTTGAGTCTCTATCTCCAGTAGTTCCCACTGTCCAGCTGTACCAATGTCCTTTCCATACTTTCCTTAGTTAAACAAAATTCACTAACCAGATTCTATTTTGAAAATATTTTGAAATATAGTAATGAAATGTTCTTTATGACCTTTCTTCTGTACATCCAGAATCATGCACTGCCTTGCTCAGAGTGGGATGCTGATATGCAGAGAAAGAGAAAGGGTCAACATTCAGCTTCTGACCTCGAAAACAAGATCCTAGAGCTACTTTCAGAGTCAACTTATGTGAATGGCAAAGCTTTTCTTCTTGTTTATTTTGAGGGTTTTTTTTCCTTAGGAGGAAAAAATGTTTTAGAAACCAAAAGGCAAAGACCTGAAAGGATCAGGACCAAAAACCACAAAAATTAAAAACAAAATAGAACAAAACTTGCCCTTAAAAATAGATCTAAGAAAAATAAAGATACTGTTACTTAACATATGTGTGTCTCAACTCCTTCAAAATGGGGTAATAAGAATTATTATACTACATATTTTTGTTAGGATTAAATGAGATAAAACATTAAAAATGTTTAGAGCAGTGCCTACTACACAATAAAACACTCATATTTTTCTTGTTAGTGTTATTGCTGTTACTGTGATGATTGCATTTTGAAGGAAGGGATGGGGATTTCCCTTGCTGAGAAGGCAGCAAGATGAGAGGGGATGTAAGGAGTGACAGGGAGGCCCCCAAGGTCAGGAAAGACCCCAAGGTCAGGAAAGACCCCATGGTCAGGAAAGACCCCATGGTCAGGAAAGACCCCATGGTCAGGAAAGACCCCATGGGATGGCACAAAGTCAGTGCTGACAGACTGACAGATTCTGTCCAAGAAAACCTGCTACTAGAGACAGGCCTTGAGCAGCTCATGAAAACTGAACTCAAAAGATCTCTCTCCCTCTCTCTCTCAATATTGAGGATCTACTTTCCATTATGTTAGCTTTATTCTCAGGCAGGCTGTCTTGATATGGCAGCAAAGATGGCCGCTAACAGCTCTAGTCTGACCTGGTGCTCACAGTCAGTGTTTTAAAAGAATCAGGTACTACTCCAGAGAAAATTCCTGTGGAAAAGTTATTCCATAATTAGTAGGAAGTTACACTGAATATCATGGGAGGCTTTTATCCTTAGTGATCTACAATAAGGTCCCAGAATCAGTCACTTTCAGGAGCAATAACATAATGAATGGAGAAGCAATTTAAATATGTATTAATATTTATAATGAATGAAGTAATATATGTATATATACATATTACTTCATTTGATTCTCACAGCATCCCTATGTTGTATAGACTATTATCCTTATTTACAGATGAAGAAACTGAGATTCAAGAGTGTTAAATACCTTGCCTGAACATCCTTTACCTATGAAAACTATTAATAGTATCCAAATTCAGATACAACAGATTCCACAGCCTGCATTTGCTTCTACACTCCTTTCAGTAATTAATGAAAAAATGTAAATGTTTTATTATAAGAAACAAAGTTTCCTTTTTCCATTCCCTTTCTTCCTCTCATGAATTATACTCATCTTTCATCTCATTGTTGGCAGCTGTAATTACTTAGATAAATGCCATCATTTAAGATGTGTTTAGATGAATAAATAGATGATTGAATAGAATGAAAAATTAATTAAACACAACAGTACTGGTGATTGACTGATGTTTTCTTCCACTGTTCCGGCCAGTATTACATTGTGTACATGTGAGAAAATTTTTACCAAAGGCCCACAGAATACCTTTCACATGCAAAATAAATCCAGAAACAAGTAGAAGTGAAAATACAGTTTTGATTGAATATTAATAAACTGGCTAGTTGAATGCTTACAGAAATGAATTGTCAAGCATAAAAGACTTTAATTGTAAAAAATTTCACATCGACTTTTCTAAGAAAATATGGAAATATTTTGTCTAGACTAAGCTATTTTTTTAAATTACTAACTTTGTTCAATATTCAGCACTTCTAAAACTGATAAGATGATTGAGTTTGTTTATTTGAGGAAATAAATTGTGAAAATATAGCCTTACGAACAACAGCAAAAATATAAGGATTCACATTTCAACTGCTTTATCTTGTTGAAATCTGATGCAAACCCTTTCAGCACACACAGCTGAAAGTCATAGATCTGATGGCTAAGAACTTTTCATTGAAAGTGGGGAAAAACCTGACCCAAACTTAGCTTGCTGAACTGAAAAGTCAAAGAATAGCTAACGGGAGTTAGGATTCAAAAGATGACATCAGGATTTAGTCGTTTTCTCTGTTTCAGGCTCCATGCTGGGGCAAGATGGCAGAAGCTGCCACAGCCCCTACATTCGTCTGGGTTTCAGGGCCTTATGTGCTTCTCCAACAGGCCAAGCTACATGTCCTGACTTTAATCTCAAAGGCTTTGACTGGATAGACTATATTATATGCTGTTCCAGAATCATCAGTGGTCTGTCTATGAAGTCAGCTTTGGCAGAATGCTAGGGACCAAAATTGCTGATGGTGGTATGGTGAGGCTTCTCCAAAGGAAACTGAATAAAGTTACCAGAAGGAGTATAAAAGTATATTGGATGGCAGAAATATTAGCTGTCCACCTCAGGCACTGTGAAAATACCAGAAGATTGGCTAATTATGGAGTGCTGTAATCCATGTAGTCTTGGGGATTACTGTAGAAAACTGGCTATAAGGCCTATTGGGAAGTACTGATGGTCTATAATTTTCTTGGGGTTAGCTGGCCACAGAAGGAATCACCCTGGCCCATAGAGTTTTCCTTTGCCCGTTGCTAAGTCTCTGTGGAATTTCTATATACCAGTAATTATACATGGATGCAGATAATAGTGGGCAGGCACACATTTAGAGAAAACAAGTAGGTCTACGAGGAACATGAATGGGGAAAGATATTTGCCGTGGACTCCACCTGGGAGTATAGGGGCAGGTGCAAAGATCTTTGTTTTCAAAGACCTGAAACCTCAGTGGTAATAGATAAACACTTCTGTCAACAGGGGACCATGCATCATTTGCCTTTGCCTTGAGGTATTTTCCTCCACCTATCAACAACATTGATTGGTTTTGTTAGATGAAACATCAATGTATCCGCTCTTTCATTTAACTCATATATGTGAGGGATGTCCAGAAAGTTTCCAGCCATATAATATGAAAAATGTGTTAACAATGGCTGGATACTTTCCAGACAGGTCTTATATACACACATGTATAAAGATCCACTCAGAAGTAACCAATGAACTTCTTAATTTGATAATATTCTATACACATCAGGGCCACCAGGGAATTGCTTGGTATCGGGGAAACACCGGTAGAGAAAACCAGGCAATGGGAGCAGCTACACTTTTGCAGAGGAAGAAAATAAAGCAGCATCAAATCACTCAATTAATTAAAGTCCCTTATATTGGGCTAGGACTGAACACAATGCCAGGTTGTCAAATATCATTTTTAAGTAAACATTAGTCACCAAATTAGAAGATTAAAACAGGGATGCAGGATAAAATAACACACCCAACTGGTAGGTGTTTTCCATCTGAACCGTCAGACGAGAGACATCATCACGCTGGCTCGGTTCGTCCATGTAAGACACGGTACTCATTGAGCTAAAAGCAAGGGAGAAAACAAATTTTAACCATTACTATAACAATACTAACAAAATACAATATTACTTGAAGCTAAAACATTACAGAGCTGTAAGTTTTCTCTAAGAGAATTTCAAGCAGTCCGAGGTAAATATCCCGCTGACATGTTTAAAATCTAAAACATTTTAGAGATGGAAATATTAATATTAAGAAGTAGAGAAGTTATCTGGAGCAGGTCTCAGTGTGATGGCTGAACCCCAGTGTGGTCTTCCAGCTCACCTGATTTCCAGAAAGTGTTTCTGGGTTGATCTATGTGTATGAGGTAAGAGAGTATATGTTTCAAAACCGATTGCCAATCATGTCTCCACTATTAACACAAAGGCCCTTCTCAAAGCAAAGCTCACAAATGGACTGGGGAATATATGGGGAAGCATAAAATGTTGGAAAACAATTCTACACATACATGGGGTATTATGAGTTCACTATTGTATGCACCTCACAAAACCCCTTTAGTATAAAAAAGAAAAATGACAAACTCATCTACATGGTAAAAGAAACCACAATTCACCCAAACTTTCCTAAATCAATAAGCATCAATCACCCTTTTCAACATTAAGAAAGGGTTCAGGCTTGGTTAGCAAGGCAATATGAGCTCAGCCAGGTGCTAAATAGGAGACCCAAGCAAAGAAGAGCCCCTAAAGTTTCCCCAGTGCTACTTAATTCAACGCAGCTCAGAGGAAATTCAATTGTAACTAATGACACTCTTAGAACACTCAACCCCCAATTTTCTCCACCTGTGAAAATGGAAGTTAAGACAGATGTCATTTCAAAGGAGATGGTATAAATATGTGTGTGTTCACAGCGGCCACTTTTCCAAACAGGCTATGTTTTTGTTTTAATTAAATAAGAAAAAGAGATATTTGTTCTTAATCATTCGAGATTTTTTTTTTCTCTGCAAGAAGTTTAAAATAATTCTCAGCTGTTTGGAATTAATGAAAATTTTCTTTCAGATTGATATTTTAAGAAAATCATGGATATTCTATTTTTAAAAATCCTTTAATACAATACAATTTACATGATCAATTAAGGTTTTACCCACCCAGCCCAAGAAAGTGATGCAAGAAATTCTGGCTGCTTTTTTTCATGATGGATTTCTGGATTAGTGATTTAGTCTTCATTCTTTTAACACCTGCGTTCCTCAATTTGTTGCTGCCCTTTGAAGTAGCAACCAACTTGTTTAGCCACACTAGCTGCAGGTGTTGTGGGCGGTATTAAAGATGATAGCTTCTGCTTAAAAAACCCAATGTTGCATAAACCTCTTGATTCTAAGATAAGCCAGTCTGCCCCAGTATCATGTATGCTACTTTTAACTTTGCAAAACATTTCCCATCAATTATCTCATTTTACCTTCACAATACCCTTTGAAGTAAGTAAACGTGTCATTATTCTACCCATTTCAGAGATAAACTGAATGAGGCAAAGGACTTAATGTCATATGGGTAGGAAAGGCAGACTGAAATTTCAAATATCCCATTTACCTCTCAGTGACAAAGTCCTGCATATGATTATATCTGACAGAATGAAAATATTATGTCAGGGGCAATAACTACCTGAAATAATCACTGCAATTAAAACTTATTTGTGCAAACATACAGGAGATATTGATAAAAATTCTATTTCTTTCTACTGAACATCAGATTAAAAATTAAGTGGCATAAAATTCGAATTATCTGGAGTTAGAAGTGTAAGACGAAACAACAAATAAGGATTTTTACATTTGTACTATTGCTTTGTTCAATATTATTGAAGCTTGATAATCAGGATATTTTGTAATATTATCACTAGGAAATTGTCAAATGTCATCAGGGCAGCTTAAAAATCCCACTAGTTGACAGAAGAGCAAATCAAGACCCCAACCTCTCACCCCTCACAAAAATTCACTCAAGATGGATAACAAACCTAAACCTAAGACATGAAACTTTAAGAATCCTAGAAGAAGATGTTGGGAAAACCCTATCAGGTATTGGTCTAGGCAAAGAATTTATGAGGAAGACCCCCAAGGCAATCACTGCCACAGCTAAAATAAACAATGGGATCTGATCAAATTAAAAAGCTTCTGTGCTGCCAAGGAAACGATCATTAGAGCAAATAGACAACCCACAGAATGGGAGAAAATATTTGCTCTCTACACTTCCGATAAAGGTCTAATAACAAGAATCTCTCTAGAAATTAAAAGAATAAACAAGAAAAAATCAAACAACCCCATCAAGAAATGGGCAATGGAAATGAACAGAAACTTCTCCAAAGAAGACAGAATAATGGCCTACAGACATATAAAAAAAATGTTCAACATCTCTAATCATCAGAGAAATGCAAATCAAAACCACAATGAGATACCACCTAACCCCAGTGAGAATGGCCTGTATCAAGAAATCCCAAAACAACAAATGCTGGGGAGGACGTGGAGAGACAGGAACACTCTTACTCTGCTGGTGGGACTGCAAATTAGTGCAACCTTTGAGGAAAAGAATTTGGAGATATCTCAAACAACTAGGAATAGAAATACCATTTGACCCAGCAATAGCATTGTTGGGCATCTATCCAAAAGAACATAAGTCACTCTATTATAAAGACATCTGCACCCAAATGTTTATAGCAGCACAATTCACTATTGCACAGTCATGGAAACTACCCAAGTGCCCGTCAATTCATGAATGGATAACTAAAATGTGGTATATACTCACAATGGAATATTACTCAATCCTAAGAAACGATAGTGAACTAGCACCGTTTATGCTATCTGGGATTAAGCTAAAGCCTGTAATACAAAGCAAGACAACACAAGACCTGGAAAACGGGTTACACATCTACTCGCCATCAAATTGGTACTGACAGCCTAAAACTATGGTGCTAAAATAATTGTAGTGTTCAACAGGGATGTGTGGGGGAGAGACCCACATCTTAAGGATGTGATGAGCATTGTAGGGGGGAAAGGATTACCTCTATCCCTTTTTAGGGAGAGGCAAAGATACACACTGTAACCAAAATGTCTAAAAAAAAAAATTTGTTAATGGGAGATGAACAGGTGGAAGTGGGGAGAAGGGGAAGGGTGGGTGCAGGGCGCACCACTTGCAGACTGGACACGCTTGTAGCTCTAGCAGAGCCGGGTGGAGAGGGGGGGCGAGGGCAAGATATGTAACCCTAACAATATTTGTACCCACAGACTTTGAGAAAAATAAAATAAAATGATATATATAAAAAAAATCCCACTAGTTGAAAACTAGTGTTCACACAAAACGTTTTGCAGATTAACTTTTTCTTTTTAAATTACTGAAGATGATTTTGTTCAGTAGCTTTTTATTTTCACAGTAATCATGTAAACAGTGTATGTTCATTGTAAAAAATTCAAAACATACAGAAAAGTAAAACCAAACTCACACACACAAAAAATCACTAACTCCATTGTTTAACCACTGTTAACATTTAAAAAATCATTTCAGTTATATGGTTTTACAAATGGGATCATTCTAGATGCTGGTTTTCTTTACTCAAAAATGTGTCATGGTTAACTTTCCATGTCAATAAACAGCATTCAATATTTTAAATATCAAGACAGTATTTAATCTATGAACATTCTGGATTTTATTTAATCATTTATTCTCTAGGACACTTAGGTTGTTTCTAATATTCCACTACTATAGAGAAAATTATAATGAATATAGTAGCAGGGACTTCCATTTGCTTTCCAATTGTTGTTCTCTCCTTCCTTGATAACCGAACTCTGAATTTGTGAGAATATTTCTGTTCAGACTAAAGACAAATTCTCAGTCTCTTTTCATGCTATTGTGGCCATGTGGCTTATAAGCTACTAAGATGTAAGGTGGAGCTGCTGGATGGAAATTCTGAGAGAGTTTCTTCAAAAGAAATAATGCAACCAATAGGAGCCTGTTTTTCCCTTCTTGGTGACTGGAATGTGGGTATGATAGCAAGAGCTCAGCAGCTATCTTGGGTCTTTCAATGACCTTGTGGATTACAGATAAGAAGCCCATGTTCCTGAACTGCCTCCCTCTAGACTTCTTTTAAAGAAAATAAATTTCTATTTTGTTTAAGCAAATGGTGTTTTTTTTTTTTTAATCATTATTGTAAGAAGCATTAGATATAACTTATACAAATCCTAACTAATACAGAGTTTACTACTTGGAAGTGGGATGCTATAAATAATAAAACATGCAACTTGGAATTCATTGTGTGAAGGAGATAGGGCTTTGAAGAGTAAGCTTTCCGGTATTTTGCTGGAAACCTGGTAACCTTTATCATACAGAGTGAAAATATTTGGTTAGTCAGTTGCTTTCTGTACTTTGGAAGGCTAAGCATGTATCTATCAATCAAGACTATACCTTCATGGAAGATTGTAAGAAAATTTTACCTTTTAAAAACTGTGTTTATGGTATTTTTTTAAAACTGAGATCTAACAGTTCCCATATTAGAAGGAGATGGGTCAGAAAAAGGGAGAGAGAAAAAAGAGAAAAATAAGCTGAATATAAAAAGTAAGATATTTATTCTTTCAGTAAAGACTAAAGGAAGAGATAAAATATTAAACATGCTTGCAGTGTGGGCAAGTAACAAACCAGAATATAGGCTTAGTAAATTTTAAGAAATAAAAACAGTTCCTGTATTTTAAATTGGGAAATTACCAATATCAGTTCAGAATAACAACTTAGAAAAATGTGGACATTTTTTCTATTGATAAATAGCTTCACTCAAGCCCTTTGAAATCTTTAAAGACAAATATTTGAGATGCTCAAAATGTAAATTTATAATTTTAATTACCAGTGCTATAAAACTGGCACAATAAATTTATTTGGTCTCTGTCACAATATTGGAAGTGGATGAGTTTTATTTATCTATGATCAGACTTTCCCTAGCTTACAATGACAACCCTTCTAGACATATGATTTCATTACAAAGGGAATACTTTAGTTAATCTTACTTTTAAAATGCTATTGCTGTCCATGTGTTTT